GTGGATAGGGATATGTGTGAATGAGCTAAGAAGAAATAAATAAACCAGCTGCTTGATAGATTTAACAGCATTCAAATGGAGAAATAACTAAAGAAAAATGGAGAAAAATTAATTTTTATTGCAGTGTTTGTTTATTACCATTACTATTTATAGTTAGACATATTATTGTAGTATTAGCTAGTGGAATTTGGTTAACCTCCCGCATTTTTTTTATAGTTTGCCAAGAAATTATGAAACTAATAGAAATCAAATTGATTCAATTAATTAGGTGTACAAGAAAACATTACTACTACATATTTTGGAATTCTTTTTTTTTTAATATTAGTATCCGCTTATCCAATATCCAATATTACAGTAGCTTTCTATCAAAAAGTTAAAATTTATTAATAATAATTTAGTTACCTCTTCCCAAATTTGAACTCGAACCATAATTCATCTAATCTAACCTAATACCTATAACAGTTTATTTTATCATAAAGACAAATTAGGGCTTAAAATACATTATGTATCGATTTCGAACATCGGAAAATCTGATGGTGTTCTCCAATATTTCTTTGTGCATGTCACATCATAAATTATGTCCCATATCACATCCTTATATAGTCAACTAGATGTTAAACCCATCTGATAGATGAAACAGAGAAGTTGTCGAGAAAACAAATTGTTGAGATTGAAAATAAGACATTGGCGAAATTAAAAGTAAATTGCACGTTTATAATCATACAGTACTATTCGTATACTATGTTGGTTGTCTTGTTATTTGTCACTCTATCTTAAATGGATATTAAAACTATTAGCCTTTTTCTTGATTTGTATTTGGACAGGGCAATATATAACTGACTGCGGTTGAAAATTCGACGTGACAGATACAATCCAATTTGAGAGAGGGACGGTCCTTTACTCTTGTAAGTAGTCATCGCGAAATAAATGACTAATAAATATTGTCTTCTCTTCATTTTGAATGAAAATTTGGTGTCGGAAGGGCATGAAAACATTTGAGCAATGTATACATCTTCTGCGATGGGGATGCTCGAGTTTAAAATTCAAAAATTGGTATCATTAATACTATTGAGAAATCAGGTTTGAACACTCACTCCTCCATATTCACACCACCTTTTGACGGATAAATTTTGTCTGACCTTAAGTACTTAATGTATTCTTTTAATAACTTGTCCAACATGTAGACATTTGTGGTATTGACAACATCATATATTGGTGCAAGGATAGCTCTTTGTTATAGATAACCTGGATTATACAGATTATATAAAACATTAGAGTAAATACAATTGCTACAACAGTATAACTGCAATGACTAGGATTACCATTATTTTTTATAATCATATCCATATAAATTCAATTTCAACAACACCCATAGGTTAATTTTTATATAAGTAAAAAGTTTACATTTAATAATGTTGAAATTTTGAATATCCTAAATTTTCATCGATATATATATATACACACACACACACACGCACATAAGATAGTTTTATAATATTGGTATAACATCATACTTATAATATTGTTGTTCCCTTATACAAATAATTTGAAAGTACTGCACTTTTTGTGAATGATTTACTTTCTACCCATTGAGGTGTTGTAATCATTTGTTACATAAACCTTAATTTTTTTGGCTACTTGTCACGCCAGTTGAACTGTCTTGGTCTTTCCTATTTGGAGGATTTACTCATTTGCCTCACTCGTTAATGCGCCTTAGTCATTGTTAGAGTAGCCTTTTAATTTTTCACCACATTCCCTCACCCGTTGAGTTACCTTAGTTTTACCCATTGAGGTGTCATCACTATTAGAATAATTTTAAATCTATTTGCCAGATGTCTAATCCGTTGGGATGTTTTTATCATTGTTAGGATTGCGATATGGAAAAAAAGAAAAAAAAAATATATGTCACAACCTGAAATAGAACGACTGCACTTCGCACACGGAACAATAACATATGCTAATTTATGTCACAACATGTGCAATCCCAAGCTATAGAATTGCAATCCCAAAAACAGAAAGAATCCCTAGTATAATTTCATTCGAGGCACTTTTCACTGAAGCATGTTTCATAAACTAGACTATTGGTAGTATAGCCCGGTTGAAAGCAGTGAATCAATTCATATATCATTCAAGTCATTAGTTTCCCTAAACAGCTCTTCAAGCAGATGACTTGAACTTCACTTTCTAGGCAAATAAATTCATTTGCTAGGCAAATAAAGCAGCTACTTGAGGTTCATTGAATAGAATCTTCTCATTTGTGATCAAAATTTATTACAGGCTTCACACACCAAAGATCTTAACTTTGAAAGTTTATAGTTTTAGATTCAAACTATTACAACGAGACCATTGGAAAAGGTAAGCACTTCAAGTCAGCTATTAGAGTCGATTCCTACAAATTGGTTCCTATTCCAATAAGATTGTCTTCTATAGCTTTGCAATTGAGAGGCTCAACACATTAGCAACTGAGAATTCATCATGAGCCTGACGTGAATTTCAGAGACCGTGATTTTTTGGATAGAGATCAAAATGAAAGTATACATATTGAAAAAATTACTCAACAATATACAACTGATGTATCACTCGGAGTTGTATTCAACTATAACAAAAGCATAGCTGATTCGCTGAACTAACTCAACAAGTTAATGATATATAATCCCAAAAATCCAAGTCCACTAAATTAAAGAACTCTTTCCAGATTCCTAGCTAATAAATGTGATGGAAAACATAAACATCAATCACCTCTAAAGTTCAAAGAAATTAACAAACAGATTAAGAACCAGATATCTCGTAAAAATAACGCATTTCTCTATAAGCTTCAATAATCTATTAACTACTATTTCAATGCATTCAATCCAACTCGGAATGACCAGGATATCAATATAGCGATTAAGAATTACAGAAAAGAAAAAGGATTACCATTATTCCGAGTGATTTCTCGGTGACCTCCATGATTAACCAGCTCTAAGTCTCTCTTTCTTCTTCTCCTTCATAAGGTGTTTAAAGGAGGAGAAGCAGATAACCAATTTGAATTTGTTGGGCCAATAAACCAATCTTATTATATCGTAAGTCTTCATTTTCTTGGGCTGTAATTGGCGTTTTTAGTTATACCCTCCATTCTAAAATAAACGTTGTTTAATCAAAAAAGGAGAAATTTCAGAAAACATGAGTCGTTTTTCAAAGCAATTTTTTTACCAAATTTTCCAAATTTACCCACAAAAGAAATGGTATTAATGGTAGTTATTTATTTAAAGGAAAAATTTGGATAAAAGGCGGTGGAGGACAAATAATTAATAAACAGGGCACTATTTTTTAATATTTTATATTAGGGGCATAACAATTCAACTAAACAAACATGACTTTGGATTTTTTTTTAAAGAAATCCAGGGCAGTACTTGGCGGGAGGACCTCGATTTTATTAATTTAAAAGAATATTACAGAAAGCACTTCTTAAGACTTACCCAATAAAATAACCATCTTACAAAAATCTTCTAAGATTCCATATGGCTCATAACAATTACACTAAGAATTGTCTCACATAGATTCATACAAGAAATCCCATGGCATTTCTTTTTATTTCCAAAGGTAAAATAAAAGAAATCTATCTATTACAAGGACTTACCTTATGCGGAGGTATGGTATGCCTTGCTAATCTATTCGGAGTAAACCTCTGACTTGAGCTGGCAACTGTTCTAGGTTTCGGAATTCTGATGTGGTCCCCGAAGAAACAAGACTAGCTAAGAAATCTGCTATAGGATTTACTTCTCTGTAAAAATGGACTATTCCACTATGGTATAGCCATTCCTTTGTATCAATGAATCTATTTTTTGGAGAGCATTCCGATTCTTCCATGGAAACAAAATATGCTAATTGAGCATGCTGACTATCATCTGACTATCGGTTTTGATTTGAACATTCAATATCCTTCATGCTTCACCTTTCTAATCCTGTTAATATAGCATGTATTTCGACATCAAGACAGTTGGAAATTTACATATTAAAAAACTTATTAATATCAATTTAATTACTTTGGAAGTTTATTAATTTATTTTTTCGTAAACCTGATTAGTATAAGAATACTGAAGTGGTTATTGATTAAAAAAAACTTAAACATATTAAATTTTGATATTATTAAATTTTAAAATTTTTACTAATATAAAATATATGATATTAATTTTTTTGACGAAATAATATTAATTTAAGTGCTGTAAATTATAGTGTATCGCTCATTTGAATATAAGGTTTTGGAAAAAGAATTTAGACAATTTTGATTCATGTGAAAGAAAAAAATTTATTTACTTTAATAAAATTAACATTATATGGAAAACAATAAAACACCCTAATAAAAATTAGGAAATATTAATCTTTATTTTAAATTCAACATATTTATATTATTTTCATATTACTATTGAAATATTATAATTTATGCACTTTGGAAATAGATTTTTATTTATGTGTTAAAATCAATTGAAAGGCAAAAAAAAAAAAAAGATTTGATTTCAAGAATTAGAGTCATATTTGCATTGTTGAATGATTATGCCATTAATACACATTATCAATAAGTGTTTTCCTCTTTATTAATTATTTTTTATTTACTACCCTTAATCCAAATTTTTTCTTATTTTAATGGGATAAATTAATAATGTTCTAATAATTTATCTATCATATTTCAGTATTTCTTAAAATTTTTTGTAAAATTGTCTAATGATACTTATTTTAGAATGGGATGAGTATGTCATCGGCTAGAGGTCTAAGAATAGAATTGAAAAAATCAAGGGGAAGATTTAAAAATCAGAAAGAGACAAGTTAGAGAAAAAAGAAGAGAGAGATCGGACATAATTTCTGAGAGGAAAACAAAATATTCGTTCCATAATTCCTTACCGATACAACAAAGCAACTATAACAATTTATAAAACTCATTAATCTATAAAACTCTAAATACCCCTCTCATTGTCTCAGGCCTTCGTTTAGGTTTTGAAACTAAAGTTGTATAATGTTTACTCCTCGTACATACAATTTCCTATAAAATGAGTTTAATACACCATCAAAACATCAAATTCATTTGTGTAAATTCACTTGACGCTGAATCAGGTTCTCCATTTTAGGGGTGAGATAAACTCTCTTCACCCCTAATTATGCTATGGGTACAATAGTTCATGATAGTTGAATTATTTTAGTTCAACAAATAAAATTCTTGCTTCAGGACGGAAAGAAAATTGATATACCGCCTGAGCCTTACCCTAAAGTAAATTGAAGCGCAATTATTCAACACAAATTTAAACAAACAGGCACCAGGTGCACCATCGGAGAAAGGTAAACGCAGCACAGTAAATAGAAACCTATACATACAGTCATCCAGGTAATTAGTCTTACTTCCAGCTCAAGAGCTGCTATAAGTACTTGAAGTAAAACAAGTTCAGAACTACAACTTTTTTTTTGTTGCTTTTGAATGTAATTTATACTGGACGCAGATCATGATGTCCACAGGCTGTGAATGGCATGTAGCTCGTTGAACTCTGAAGATTTCAAGGCCATTCTGTAGAGCTCCTTCAGCTTGGCAACCTCTCCAGACTTGTTTGGAATGGGAAGAGTAGTAGACAGCATCTTCTTCAACAGCATCCTCAGCTGGTTCCAAAACTTGGCACACACCTCAGGATTGTCTTTGCTGAATGAATCATTTCCAGATAAATGGCGCCCGTCAAGAAGGCGAATCAAAGCAGATTCCAAATGCTGCCACACAGAGTGCACAAGTGGCATTAAGAGGCAAGAAGATGACTACTTGAGAATTCATGATCCAATAAGCAACAAAGACACAGAAAGAAGCACTTGAATTGAGAACTGACTGAAAATATGCAGATGGAAATGAATTCGAGATATCACACAACTTGTAAACACTTTGCGTAATGTCCAAATTAAAAAATTTAGATGTGCAACCTTTTCCCGGTGCTGTAACCACAACTATAGCAATCTCTCATTACACAGAACTACATATTTCAACCTACCACTAACTCCATGATAATAGGCTACAAAAGATATGCTCATCAAAATTTTGGGACAAATACAGTAACGTGCTGTCATCATCACTGTAAAGACAAGATCCCCAAATGGTCAAACCACATTACATGATTTTCAGACAACAACAAACAACAACAAAAGCCTTTTTCCAAAATCATAATCATTTTTCGAAAGAAACCTCTGAGAAGCTGCAGGTTAAATATGTAAAATAGGATCTGGTTCATTTTGGGACGAATATCCAATTACGCCATCACACTATAAAATGTACACCAAGGATCACCTGACCATATCGATTCTTAATTTCCTAAGATATTTCTAATCGACCACTTCTTCACAAATTGCATGTGGAAATTATTAAATGCCTATAACACATCTCAAAGGTGGGTTCACTTAAGTTCTTCATTTCAAGTTGTTCATGTCACGATCTAAGTCCCTGTTTCTAATTTTTACAATCATACAACAAGTTCTTCTACAGACAACAATGGACAGCAAAAGGGGCAAGAGATTGAAAGCGTACCACAAGCGAGTGTAAGGAGTTTCCGAGGGTTAAAGGGAGAGCTGATCTCTCCATTACAATAGTAAGGTACATCGAGGGATGAGTCTCAGGCCTATAGAAGTCCATAGACTTCTTCCAGTTCCTGTCAGCCAGAGAAGCATATTGCTTCATCTTTTGGCAATCGCCTCTGGATGCATTGTTACTCTGTGAATTTGAATCAAGAAACTTTAAACAACAGTCCTTTTGGTAAGAAGCCAGCTGGTAATAAGCATAAGCAGCCTCTTGTTTGCGTAAATCGCCCAGTGACTCATAAACAGATAAAGCCTCCCTAATAGCATCATTAGCTGTAATCTCGTGCTTCCGATAATCGTTTGTATGCCTCATTACAATAGGTCTAGTATGATCTTCAAGCACAGCATTTTCATAAACCTCCGCAGTTGTACCTTCTCCAGATAAAAGAATGCCAAGCCTCAAATACGTATTAGCAAACTGAGTATATACTTGATCCTTCAAGCCATCGGAAATAAAATCTGCAGATTCAACTGTCTCTATTTCCAATTTTGCGGCTCCATAATACATGAGAGCTTCACTGTATTTCAGTTTAGCAGTCTCAAGAGTTTGCTTGTATGCATTATGGAGCACGGGATGCTTCTTGAAAGTTTCAAGCCTTGGTACCATCTCTTCAGCTAATGCCCGTCTGCCATGCCCTAAATTGCAATTGATTAGGATGATGTTGGTATAATCAGACACTTCTTTGAAAAACTTAATTGCGTCAGCAAAGGCATGTTCAGCACCATCCAGATCTCCTCTATCCAGCTTACTCCGACCTAATTCATTGCAAACCCATCCTGTCTTTTTATTTATAGATTTTAGTTCACCAGAACAACTAGGATTTCCACCAAGTGCCTTCTTTGCTTTTGCATAACAATCTAATGCAACAGAGAGATTGTATTCCCCATCTTCAACCACAGAAGTCCTGATGTACTTGAAAATACCACCATCTCTTCCTTCGGTCATTTCAGTAAAACCACCTCCATCTTGACTATCAACACCGGGTCCTCCAATTCTCGCTTTTCCAGTCCTAACACCTCCTTTACCAGTGCTAGTGGCAGTCATTCCATTAGCAAAAGCATCTGCTTTTTCTGTGGAACTGCTTCCTGATATGCCACTTTTATCGCCCTTCAGAACTCCACTTCTTTCCACAGTTCGATTAACTTGATCATCCTCAGACTTTCCAGCTTGCGAGAACACATTATTCTTTGCAAAAGATTTCTTGTTTGTCTTCTTTCCATGAGCTGATGATCGTACATTTCCCGAACTACTGCTGGCACTACTACCACTATTAACTCTGTCACTCATGCAGCTGCAGTTTACCAAGGAACAGGAACTACAGTTCTGACCAAATTCCCCCAATTTCTTTTTGAGCCTTTCAACCTCTTTCAGAACTTCAGAAGACATTCTCAGTTCCCTCGTGAAGGATTTCTTATCCGATTTCATCAAGGCCTCTCTACCCTTTATTGAATAGAGCTCCACATACACATCACCGACTAATATCCAGGCCTTAGCCCAAAACAGATAATCAGGGGGTGACAGTTGAAGAGTAAAATAATCGCTATGGGTGATGCGTTTACTCTTTTCACTTCCACCAGTAATCTGCATTTGATTTGGTGAGCTGCAAACCATGGAAGAAATGAATCTAGTCTCTTCAAGATGTTGAGGCATTGAACCATAAACCAAACATGCTAATTCTACAACTTTAAGAGCTTGAAACAACTGCCCATCATCCTTATAAGCTTGACCTAGAGCTAAATAGGATTCTCCCAGCAATAGTACAAGCTTCCATACTTTATCATCTAATTTTGCTGTTGGAAGCCATTCATAAAGGTCACAAACCTCAATACAGTCCGGATCCCCGCATGCACACAAACAAAAGTCCAGGGACCTATTCAGCCCACTGTGAGTACTGCTTACATCATCCATGTTAACCTCAGTAGTTTGTAATTGGCGTTTCCATCTGATAGACTTGATAGCTTGAGAAACATGATGTATAGCCGCCAACTTTGAGGTGATAGGATCAGTAATAGCTCGAGGACCAGAGCTATTGGAGTCTGATAAATTCGTCTCTGAAGAATTACAAATTGAAGAAGTTAAACCACTGAAATCAAAATTATCAACAGAAAATGGTATCCGCATCCCACCTGCAATTGCAACTGTGCTGTGAGGAGATGTGTCAGCATCCAGAGTGTTGGTAGCAGAATCTTCATCTTCCAAGCATTGTATTGACACGGGATCTTTTGTTTCTTCTTCAGAAACTACAGGAATCACTTCAACTGAATCTTCCTCAGCATCATTAAGTGTAACTTCATAATCTGTGGGGACCACTTCGGATGTAAAATCCAGTTCCTTGTCATGATTCAGAAGGAGCCTAGCAAATTGCTCATGAGCAAATGCACGGACAACCTGTTGAACAACAATCCTTGTCAAGACACTCTAAGTATCTAAAACACATACAAAAGAGAGATGAGAGAAAGGTGGATACCAGATGATCAGGTTCGTCTAGAAAATCTAGACATTTTCTTAAAAAATCTACACACCTTGATCTCTTATCTGATGACTGCAAAGGCAAAATAATAATAACAAAATTTATTACAAAAAGGAACAAGAACCATCAACAGCATGTTTCAGTGACAGTAGTATGATCATGTAACATCAAAACCAGAGCACTACCATTGAGAGTGACAGCCTGTGAGCAATTCGGTACAACAGAGTTCCTAAAGAAAGAACGGAATCGCTTCTCCCTCTACACATAAGAGATGGCAAAGAACTTTGTACATTGTCACAATCATCAGGAGAATGGTTCTTAGGCATCATGGTCAAATCAAAGATCTGGATAAGATCTTCTCCAGCACCTTTGTATAACTGAAATGTCAAAATAAAACAAAGAGTGAAGGAACTTAAATAGCCATCGGAAGCGAAAAGCGTAGATCATGAAGAGAAACAGTATCCATACCCAATAAGCACCAGGATCTTGCTTGCAGTTCTCCTGAAGAAACCTCAGTACACTCAGACCATTTTGATGCACCACATGGGGATGAAATGCAGGCGTTCCATCTTCTGAAATGCCTTTCAGGAGAAATATGTCATCTGTCTTTAAAAGCTCATAACCCTGAACAACCCCATCTTGATGATAGCAGATGGCAAGTTCAGGCACACTTGCCATCACATTATCGAGCCAAGCTTCCAGCCACGTCAATGGAGTAACCTATCGAGACAACATTTGAATTTAAACAGCATAGTTATTTTACCAAAGAAAACATAGCTAATATGAACAAACCAGAAATAACAAGTTTCTATCCACCTGTCGAGAAACATCCCAAAGATGCAAGCTAACAGCAACATACTTCTCATTGCTAAATATGAGTAAGTCACTGCCTAGAAGCATACGAAATTGGTGAAACTGCCAAAATAGCACCCGCAAAAAACCATCATCTTTAACAGTCCTATATTTTTCCGACTCTTGAACTGAACCCCTCGAATTCTCTTTGACTTGTGACACCTTTTTAACTGCATTTTGGCTTTGCCTTTTCTTACTTTTATTCTTTCCCCAAATGACATCACCCTGTTTGACATTTGATGACTCTTGACAGTGACTAAAATCTTCGTCCTCAGCAATTTGATGCCTTTCTCCAGAGGAAGTATGTTCTCGCTTCAAGTTTCCAGCAGTTTCGGTTGAGTCCTTCCTAGATTCACGCTGTCCAGGAAGTACACAGGAATCTATTTTTCCCTTTGTTACTGTATGATGGCTAGGGGGACAATCACAAGCCTCCATTCGGACTGACTGCATGGCAAAGTTTAGAAACAAAGAGTTCTCTGAGCATTTTGATTGATTCTTATGTCTTCTGACCAGCTTCTCTCCCTCCTCAACATCAGGCCTGTATTTTCCATATTGTTTCAGAAATAATAATGGATTCCTAAAACGGGAAGAGGAAGAAAAACACAAAAGCTGAGTACCCGGTATTCAGAACTAGAGTCTGCCCAACACGGTGAACGGCAACAGATAATCGAGCTTTAGAGTATGGCATCTTAAAAATTTGCTTCAAAATGTCAGCAGGGGCAATAACATCCATCTCATCTCCATATTCTACCAAGCCAGACACAGCAAGAGCCTCTCCCTTTCGTGTAAGACTTGCAGAACTACTAGCCTCTTTCTGCCATGATAAATCTGCAGGGCCAAATAATCATATGTTAATAAATAAATACTGAAGAATCCACCGTGACAGAAAGCAATATTATGCATCATAAATTGAAGATATAAATACTCTTTGTTACTGAACGTGAATCCTAACAACCGAAAGCAAAATTCATAAACTTCATTCTGTACTACATCTTATCAGACCTCTAAGTCAACAGCATATTACAATTTTTTTCTGGTTCCTATTTCTGCAGTGGGTTCGTGAGTATTTCACGACTCTGAGCAAGGAACAAACACATTGAGCCAACAGTAACAAAAATAACTGAAAATAAAAACTCATTTATATTTGATACAGCTGATGTGCCGTCGAAAATGAATTTGCATCTAAGAGAAACTAGTCGTCTCAACACACAAGTGGTTGAAAACAAAATCTTGAGATCAACCAATCAATCTCAGATGCTACTATGATCACTGGCGTTCTGGAATTGAAGTCCACAAGGCTGTGTTCAGTGTACAGGAAAGAGAAGGAATGGGAATTTCATTCTCAGCAAGAAGATCAGCTCGTTTAAGGAATTTTAAATTCTCTTTACACTGTTTATGTCCCGTAATCTTATCATTTTCCCATTATGATGTTCTTTTTTGCACAGTATAGATTGGGAATGAACTCGAAACTGAAAAGAAAATGTGATTGGCCTTTCTAAAAGAATCATTGCAAAAGCACAATAAAGGGAAAAATGTTCTAATTTCAAGTGCAATTTCTTAGTTTTCTCAATCTCTAAATTGAACAAAAAGATAGGTTGTATGGTAATGGTAGGTTTTCACATCAAAACAAAATCTAAAGATCATAAGTACAAACAAGAAACACAGAACCCTCCCAGTTAGTAAATCCCTAGAAGGTGGATCAAGGCTACTCCATCGAAGGTAACCATCAAAATCATTCAACATTCACATGAAATAACCAAGCTTACATGGTCTCTGGTTTAATTTATTGGGTGGGTGCAGTTGCTAAACTCCTTAAATAGTTATTTACTTGTTGATTTAACTGTCAGGTACCAATTCGTCAACATTGCCAAATTTCAGAAAAGAAAGATTGGGTCTATTATGCGTAAAAGGACACTGCTTAGAACAAACATGATACAGTTGCAGTGTTGAAAATAAGTAAAAAGAAATTGCACAATTGTTACTACAAAACTTTAGAGCTTTTTTAACTTTTAACAGTTGGACAGATAAAATCGGGCTTAAAATTTGCAAGGGGTCAACCATATGAGAACATAATATGATCATTTTAGCAAAATCAGAACTTTACCGTTTCTTTCTTTCTTCATTAGCAGCCATTCCATTCTTTTTTTCTTTTTTTCCTTTTCTCTCCAACCACTTCTCATCAAATAAGCTACACTACCCATCTCCAAGAGGAAAAGAACAAGATTAGGAATTTTTCTAAATTTTCCAACAGCCTTCACTACTGTAATGTCGCTGTTTCACATCTTCCTTAAATAGTGGCCATTAATCTGAAGATTTACAGAATTTGATCTTCTTAAATGTATTTGGAGATAATGGAGATCGGAGAGAAGATAAGAAGCGGTGAAGGGAGGAAATGCACATGCAGGACAAAGGCTATGTGTCCAAAATTCTTAGAGCCCATCAGACACGTAACCTAAACAGCAGCGGTGTCAAATTCTGCCGACAAGTGGTAAATCTAACCAACCCATTCTTTCCAGGTAACATTGGGGGAATCATAAACGCACCTACTCAATCCTAAAATATTTAAATCAATAATTCATTCAACACACCTTCCAGAATCAGTTTACTAAACAACATTGGGCACTCCAATGTTACATCACAAAGTTCTCTAGCAACAACTCAACAGTAATTATCAATTGCATATGATCTTTAATACATTCACGAAACTTTCCTCACAAATTTGTACTTGTCCACGTATAATAACTCCCCAGTCTATTTAAGAAAAATTTAACAAATTAAGTTTAGGCGGATAGTCAAAGTAGTTACATTAACTTTTCAAGACAAATGGACCAAACTAATAACTCAACTCACAGGCCATGTTTATAAATTATAATTAAAGAGCAACCCAACCCCTGATACCAACACCAGAAGGGAGAATAAAGAAAGAAAGAAAGGGAAAAAAAATAATAATAATAACAAAGGAGAACATGACTAAAATAGTCAACCTCCATGGCTTGGGTAATACATTAACCCTGAATACATAAATTCTCCATGTGAGAACATTTAGCAAGTGCACACAAATTAGTTTCTAATGTAGATAATTGTAATTTGGCATTCACATCTTGTCTTGTCACCAAAAGGAATAATAATTAAATCACATCATGCTGTACAATTCTTTTAACTGTATTAAATGGAAGCAATATCACAAACCAATGCAATGTGCTCATGGTAATTTTGACTACAAGGATCTGTGTCCTAGAAATAATCAAGTTCAAACCTTACAATAAACACGCAAAAGCAAAAATGAGAAGAACACAATTTTCGAAGCATAACAAGCCACAAGAATACATTTAGATAACAAAATTGAAATAATGAGAGCTATTCTATCCTTGTCATTTCATTGTAATTATGCTTACTTCTGCAAAAATTTCACCTCGAAGACTACCAGAATAAATCCCCCGACAGGGCTGAGTCGAGTAAATCAGCGCCAGAGTTCAACATGGGCAATTCCATTGATAAATTGACAAACTGAACAAGATATAGACAAAACAGATAAAGTTGCTACCACCAAACTCACAGATATTGTTTCATTTATTTGGGAGAGATAATCTTGAGGGAAAATTAGAAACAGGCTTAGTATCGAGACATTTTTCAAGTGCTGACTTCCAGAAATGCCCAAATACAGAAAACATATAGTGTAATTCCACATGCAGACAAATGCAGGATGCCAAAAATGCTGTGGTAATAATTAAACATCTATAACTTCACAAGAATCTTAGGCAAGCATCCAATGAACAGTTATTCTGTAGAGAAATGGCCGATGTACGACCAAAACAACTGTTTGTCACTTTACAACCTGCCCAAATTTTCTACGTTCCAGAATCAGAGAGCCAAAGCTTAACCATCATTCCTCAGTTTTCAGTTACACCGGTGTAGAAGGGTTCCCAGTTTAGTTTGAATGAGGTTTGGCTACAGCAACCAGTAAAATTTATACTGTGCTCATGTATATGCATAGTAAATGAACAAACCAAAGTTCGATTGACCACACTTAAATTTAGACAAACTAAACAGAACAGCTAAAGAATACAGATTTCAAGGCCTCGGTGCGCGCACGCACACAACACAAAAAAATTTGCATACTCTTAGATTTTGAAGTTAGAAAAAGATCAGAGCAAAATTTAACAGCGCAGAAACTTCTTGTTACATTACTTCTATTGTATACTTTTTTGCCAAATACATAACCAAGATACTGCAAGAACAAAATTTGTTCCAATAATCCAGGATGAGTACCTGCATTTGTCCTCGCCCGTACATCATCTAACGGAAGCAACTTCTCCGGGATGCTTGCAGGAACAGGAAGCATGTTAAGATCAGTCTTTGCTGGGATCAACCGATACCTAGGAGCCTGAACCCTAAACCTTCCATAAAAACAACAATACCTTGAGTAAGCACTTTCTTTCATCCAAGACACAGGACTCAAAAATTACAAGCTCAATTAGTTCTTTACAAATAAATAAATGAATCCAAACCTTAAACCACAATAGCAACCAGAAAACGCAATTCAGTACAATATCAGTTTTCAAAAATTTGATTCCACAAGTCTTACGCCACCAAATTCCCCTTACTATTGATTCTTCAACAACATGGTATGAACAAAACTAACAAACGCCATGCGAGCTCGAAGCATGAATCAAACTAATCATGACTAACTACATTGAAACGAAAATAAATTTCATCTTACTATGGGGAAAAAAAATTGCACAAATTTGAATATAAATTAGAGGCACGTACGTTTGAGCAGAGGGTTCGAGGGCGGAGAAGTCATGGAAAGCTTTATCGGTAGGGACAGGGATCGAACCGCAGAGGAAACCTACGGGCTTCGGTTTAACGATTTCTAAGCTTCCTACACACTGCAACTCCATTGATTGTGGCGGTGGTTTCCCGGTATCCATCATAGCCATTCTGTTCTGTCCCTTTTACAGCTTCTCCAGCGGAAAGAGTTGCGAGAAGTAGGAAATTCTTTTCCGAATTCAGAAAAATTCACTGTTCTTTTCAGACTTGGCGGTGGCAGTGGCGAACGCGATTACGGCGGTGGTAACGGTGGTGTTGGTTTTAGTCATCGGACGGGAGAGAGTTCGTTTTGCGTACTGTAAATAGCGTAGTCGGTCGTCGGTGTAGTCGAGAAACTTCCCGTTTTCAGCTATTTGTGCTGAAAATATTCAAGTCATTATTTTAAAGAATTAATATCTTGGCACAAGTGGTAAGCAGCTTGATGCCGCTTAAGCAAGGTCTCGAGCTCTCACCCACCACAGTTAGGTGTGCGACTCGGAGGACCAACGGATTAGTCGGGATAAAGTTTCAGAAACCGTGACAAGCAACGAAAAAAGAAAATGAATTAATATCAAAAACAACCTCAAACTTTAATTGATTATCTAAAACACTGTCCAATTTTAAAAACAATTTCAAAAATATCCCTCGACTGGCAAATATAATAACTATCAAAAAGTCTTCCGGCGACCGAAAATTGATATTCCTTCCATACCAAAATCATTATCCAATTTGGATTTTATTATTCAAATTAGACAGTAGTTTCGAGAGGAAGAAATATAAACATATAAATTCAAAAAAAAAAAAAAAAAAAAGTGTCAGAAAAGATTTTGCATTTGTACTCACCCCAATAAACCCTCCCTACATTTTTTTTTCAAATTCTAATAAAGTCAAATATCCACTTTTAAATCCAAACTTAATTAATTACAAAAACAAAATGTCACAAAAAATCTGCATCAGAAAAACTCAATTTAGGAAAAATCAAACTAATACAGGATATATTTTTCTTTTTGTTTAAATTAGTTCGCCCAAGAAAGACCAGGAAAAAAAAAAGGTTTTACGTTCACAAGTCTACTTGTAAAAGTTTAATTATAGAAATTAAACTAGTACAACTAATTCAGATTCAACATAGCGAGTACAAGGGAAAAAAAAATTAAACTATACACTTGTAATGTTTGTTAATCTGTTGAATTTGTCAAATCTTTTTATTTTTTGATTCAATACATAATCAAATTAAGGTTTTTTAAAAAGAGGAGGAAAAAGTTACTTAGCTCAGATGGTCCCTTTGTTCAGAGAAAATCAGAACTAATACCCGTGATGACTCACGTGTTGCAGCTTAGTAGACTCACATGTTGATTAATAGGTCACGGGTTCAAGTCACGCTTAGCTTAGTAGACTCACGTGTTGACCAATAAGCCACGAGTTTAAGTAACGCTGCTGAGGTAAGTGTATAAAATGATCCAATTGTAAAAAGTACATGTTCTAATTAAGAAGAAAACATGGGTTTTTAGTTACGACTTTAAAGTCTTTATTTTGTGAATTAATTTGAACCTTTTGATCTATAAAATGCTATAAGGCATAACCGCTTAATCAATTATGTCCGATATTTTCCCGAACAATTTCAAAAACATGGTAAACGAAGAACTTTGATGAATGGTGTAATTATCAAATTATCATTTCATTTGACGATCTTTCTTTGCCTATAAATTAAGAAGAAGAGGACATCTTACATCTCTCCAATTATTTACACTTTTGTCACCTGCCACATTTTTTTCTCTCCTTTCCAAAGAGTTCCTCCAAAGCCTCAATAAAATTAATTTGTCAGTAAAACAGCAATTAATCTACCCCCCAATATTGTTAGGATTATGAAGCCCTCAATTCACAATCAAATGATCTCTCTTCTCCCGCTCCTTTTCTGCTAGGATCTCATAAACCTAAGGGCAAGATAAGCCATCAATCTATACCCAACAAACATAATGAGCAAAATTGTGGCACTCATCAAAGGGTGAAGTTGGCCTCCAATGTCCTCATCAATGAACTTGCAAGTTGCCCTCTCATCATCTCCATGTGGTGAGCAACCCATCAATGATGAAATCTCTTTGCCTTCACCATATTGAACGTTGATTAGGAGCCTATATGAGTAAAATGTTGAGGAAATGTACTTGATCCAAGCCATGCAAGACGGCACTTTGTGCACGTAGAACCCTCCCGTCAAGACGTACGCCAGCATAGTCACTGTTACCACGGTAGACGCCTGTTTCGCGTCCATGATGAGGGCACCCAGCGCGAGGCCGAGCCCCTGCGACACGAAGACATACCCCAGCACGACAATTAGGGTTAAAACGAACGCGCCGAGCTCAGGTTTTAGCCCCGCCATCCAATAAGTGATGGTGAGGAAGATGGTCGGAAGGATGAGCTCCATCGGCATGTCTCCAACGATTCGCGACATAAAATACGACGACAACGTGTACATCCCGGAAGCTCTTTCCTTCATGAAGATGGCGCGTTCTTGAGGGAACGCGAACGTCGCGTTGAATGACGGCAGGACTCCCCAAAAGATGGCGATGAAGAAGAGAAGCCCTAGGCGATCCTGAACATCGCGATAATCGGAATGCCACCACATGGAACCGGCTAACAATGAGGCTGCGATCACTTGAAACACTCTCAAAGAGTTGAAGGTTTCATGCTTTCTCTCTTTTAAGCTTCTTTCTAAGAGGACACTGAACTGATTCAACCAGCTCGAAACTCTATTTTTCCAGCTGATTCTGTAATGTTGCTGATGATCTTTCGCTCGCCCGCTGCCGCCATGAAACCCTACCGTCGATTCCCTTGAAGCTACCGTAGTTGTCGATGTATCAAGACAAGCAGCTTTTACTCTTGGAGCCAATAATCTGTTATAGGATGATAGAAGTGTATGCTTTACATTAGGCCTCTCTTTCTCATTATTACCAAGATGGCAAACCCCTGCATTTTCCAAAAATAAAAAAGAAGAGATTAATGTCTAGAAATCAACATTTTAAGTTAATAATTAATTAAGAATAATATCATTTCACTAATGAGAAACAACGATTTTGACGGATTTTGAGCATGTGTTGTATATGTTGAAATTACTATAATCGTGATTAAAGTGTTCCATGACAATTAACCTTTGATATATCGTGTGGCATAGAAACCACACTTATAAGGTTAATTTAAATTCTCCTTTGATTATTAAACCAACACAAATCTAGACGCGTATCTTTGTAGTCATACCAAAGAATATAGCTAAAAAAGTTTATCAAAAGAAGATCTTCCTCTCATTAAATAACATCAAAATTTTTCCACCCAGTCTTATAAAATAATCCTAGTTAATGTGCACTAAAACCATCATAACATTTTTCTAGTTAACGATTAGAGAATCGACCAATTTTATTATGTTCAATGCCGATGTGGGAATAATATTAAATTAAAAAAATGAATTATGTTGATGTATAGGGTCACCGTCATATCCCACCATTTATTTCTCCTTTTGTTTTTTTTTTTTAAAAAAAAACTCAGAATATTCAAATACCAAAAAGGTTTTGAAAGAAAAATTTGGTGCCCATGAAGGCTTTTCATTTGCAAAGCAACCTAACACGTGGCGTTCAAATGTAAAAGTTCAAAAGTGTCCATGCTTAAAGCAGCACCAAATAAAGAAGGGGAAAAGAGGGGGAAAACATAAAAGGAGAAAAAGAAAAAGACAATTTACAATAATAATTTTTTTTTTTGGGGGCATTATGAAGGTGACAACTCAAATAAGATAAATGGCACTTTTGAGAATTAAGATCAAAACTGCCATAATCATATAAAAGAAAGAATGAGCATAATTGAGGCCAAAAAATGTGTCAATTTCAACATCCAAACTAGCCAAATTCAATAAATTTTTATTGACTTGTAATGATTCATTTTGCGAGGTGAAGAAACAACAATGCAAATCTAAAAGATCAAAGTTTTATATATTTATTTTTTATTAATCCAATTTTAGTAATAAAACACACTACTTTTTAAGTACATGAACCATGATGTCCTTCACGAGATTCTATTCTACATTTATACTAATCTTATCGGGTCTTTTACGGAATCATATTAAAAAAAATTATACTATAGCCCTTCTCGACTCTAACTCTCATTTTGTTACGTTGTTATAAAAAAAAATAAACAAGTCTAGAAAATTATGAAATTACGTTACACAACCACAATACAAGATGGAAAAAAATAATTCATTTGCAGTTTGATTTTCTAAATTCATAATCAAATCATATATAACAGAATATGAGGTGAAAAAACACAATAGTTTTTCTTTTGAAAAAAAAAAGGAAAAGCAAATTAGTGGGGGTGCACTGAAGAAAAATGGGGATTAACTTCCGTACACGCCATTAACTAATTATTAAGGTTATCCCAAACAATTGCAACATAGAAGAAGTTCATAAAATTAATTATCATTATTCAATAACTTTAAGTTTTGACCTCCTTCAATGTCACTTATTAAACCATTATAAAAACATAAGCAAAACAACTTTTTTAAAAAGGTAAAAACCTACAACCAATAAAAAAGAACAAAAAAAATAAAATTTATTTTGAGATGGAAAGAATAACGTGTGAAATTCCAATAACCACTTCATCAAACAATTAAAATAAGTTTTGGGTCGAATATAAAAAACACTTTGTTGATCATTTAAACAAGTGGTTTGATCAAACTGAAAAATTCAGGCCTGAGGGGATGTACGTTCGTATGAAATATGCTCAATTATGATGCTAAATGAGAACCAAGAACCAGATGCTATGCCTAATGGGATAGTTTTACTTAATCATCTCCTCTTTCAAAGTATAATTTCTTACATGAACATGAAAGGTATCTATTTTTGGAAGATCACTCACTTTACTATATTTAGTAACCATAAAATGGTTCTTAGATGATGTATTTTTCCTTTAGAACCTCCCTTCTCCTAAACCAATCATCAGAAACCACCTCCCTATGGTTGAAATCTCTAGGCCATTAGGGTTTATATGAACCATAAATTTTTTTTATGAAATGAACCATAAATTTGTTTCTGATACTAATAGATAAAGAGATTTTCTAAACGATATTACACTCAAACTAATCTAAATCCGACCAGAATTGAAATTGTGAGAAAAGGAAAAAGTAATTTTGGAAGTGTGCCATCAAATATATATATCTCTAGAGCAAAGTGATGAAATATAGATGCGGTGCTACGCAAGCAATGTTGTCACCTTCTATTTTCAATTTCTCCAATGAGTACGAATCAACATCACCAAAAATAACAATTATTGTATGAGGAATAATAATGCTTTCCACTCTTGCCACTCCCAAACAATTTTATGTTAAACAATTTATCCTATCTATAGCAATACCATACCCCAATTAAAGAAACATATGTCCCACCAATTCTAAATTTAGTGCCTTTCAATAACCAGCATCCATGTGCAATACCTAAGACTTCCTCCTCCCTACGAGACTAAAATGAAATACTTCATTTCATTTCAGTTTCATAATATTTGTTTCCATTCAGATTAATGTAATCGAGTTATTTTAGCAAGAATTGAATATCTCTAATCGATAAATAAAAGGAAGTTGAGGTCTAATTATCCTAGATCATGAATAACACCAATGTATAATAGTTATTCTACCTTCAAAATAGTAAGGGAAGGAACTAAGAATCAAAACTCCTACATTTTTTTTTCCCAACGATTGACTTGAAGTCTTCTTAGTTCTTAGTACCGTCCATTTGGGCACATGCCCAAAAAGTCCATTAAAACATTATGGTGGAGATGACGGGTGACCACACCATCTATCTCTCTATATATCCTGTGTAGTGTCCTCTTCTCTAGGTGAATCATAACGTATCATTGTCACAATCTCTTATTATAAAGTCAATAACATTTTTCCTGTTCTTATTTTCACTTCTTTTCAGTCTCTCAAAGGTCGAATTCAGTTGAAAACACTATTCCTTCGTCTCAAAATAAAAATTTATAATATTTTTCTTTTCTAATCATTTTCACTTCTTTTCAATCTATCAATGGTCGAATTCATTGAATTAAAATCTTTACTTCTTTACTAAATTAAAGCCTTGTTTGTTGAAATGAAATAGTATAGTAAATATATTTTTTATTTTTGAGACTAGTAAAGCATATTGGTTGTAAAAAGTTCGTGAAGGTACTGAAAATTTACACTAAACATAGCAAAATGTACCATAAAAATGCAGACTGATTAAGTAAATGTTGGGTTGAAATAGGAAATGTAAGACCAACATCATGAGTCATTCCTTCAATTTTGGTTGTTAGGAGGCTGTCTAGGTATAATGCAAGATTTTGGTCGGACTACTTCCGGAATGAATTTTTAAATACCGTCGAATTAGTAAACGTCACCTAATATATATTCTTTCTATCTAAAAAAAAATAATTAGTTTTTTTTTTTTTTCTGAAAAAGTACTCTCGACAATATGTTAATATCGATCTTAAAATAGTTACACTCTCCTACCATTGCTATTAATAATGCACTTAAATGTGTTCTTGACCAAAGCATACTAGGGGAACATATCAAGTGACCAAGATCGCAACATCAACAACTAATGAAAATTAACCCGCACTATCCTCATGTGGTAAAAGTAAAAACTATGGATTGATCGTGAAAGCAGAAATGTTTGACTAATCACCACTTTTTTATTTTATTTTATTTTTCTTTTTTTTTCTTGGGTGCATATTACCCTTTGACCTACACGATTTGACTAGCTAGTTGAACCCATAATACCTTAGATTTTCATCGTATTCATGATTAAACTCATGACCTAAGCTGCTATAAGGTATCGAAAGCCCATTATTACTCTAAGGAGATAAATGTATATTTTATCTAAAAACTATTTTGGGCACTGGCACAGGTATTGTTACATCTCCTTTTTATTTCCCTACAATATCCATGAAGCGTCCTAATTACCAAGAACATATATATGTCACCAGACTAATTTCTATTCGATCACTATAATTTTCAGACAAAAGCACTGAAAAAGAATTGACAGGTTTGTGAATGATGGAAACACAGTATGGGGTGCTCGAAGAAACTATCATCTTATCCAGCTGATTTATTTTCGGTCGATTTTATATATATATATATATATATATATATATGATAAATCAAGGTTCCAAATTCCATTTATAGATCCCAAGACTTAAAAGCTACAAGTATCAGGTCCTTCAGCTAATTCGAAGTTCACTTTTTAAATTATTTTAATCCCGACATAAATTTTGTATACATTTAATCTCCACCAAATAAAGTTTAACGGCCTAATATATGTTTCTGAGTCAGAATTGATATCTAATAGTTAAATCAAGCCTAATCGAATCTGTTTACGACATTTCTATAATCTACTCTAAAATCCCACTCAAAAAAGTACGGCATATGATGACCGAATAAATAGTACGTCTAATAATAATGTCATACCTAAATTATTGAGTATATTTTTATGTCATCATGTTCTTCTTCTGCATAATTTCACCCAAAAAAAAATAGCACACTATCATTTTTTATAAATACTCTCCTATTTTTTTCCTTTCTTTCTAAAAAGAACCACTGTCTCTATCGATAAACTTTTTTAATATTCCCATCTATCACATAATTCCTCAGAAAAATAAAATAAAAAATGAAATTGTGGAATTTATGTTAGATCTTTTGAATTATAGAAGTTTTAATAAGTATAATGGGTTGAAGTAACTTTAAAGTTTATAAATGCCACTATTAAATTGACAGGTGAACTAAATAACAAGCTAGCTATGTTACTTATATTTCATCACCTTTGTATACAAGAGATACAACTATAGTGTGGGACAACAACAAAAAATGGGTACTGTACATACCAATATTAAATTGTGGTCCCAAAGTATGAGTTATTGCTATCATTGCCTTATAGAACCAACAACATGAATGCACTAATTTTAGTAACAAATTTTTGAAACCTTATCAACACCCAAATTATGAATTTCTTGGATCTTAATAGTTAATAATATTTATATGGTACTATCTAATTTTTTTCTTACTCTGTTTTTTTCCTGGAGGATTGAGTGAAAATGGAATTCGTAACATGTTATTGAGTTTCTGAATGCATTACTCACCTAAGTAAGTTAAGGTTCGTTCTTGTTTGAAATACTTTATCCTTAATCACGCATTAGATTATTAATACGACTAAACTCTAAAGCTAAGATGGATTAATATAAAACCATCTTTGAGGCGTCAAATTAAAGTGGACTTGGAACATGCATTTTGACTAAACTTTTTCGGTGGATGGACCATATATATACATCTTTCTTTAGGGAAAGCCATCCATCTTACATTAATTGTAACGAAAACATGCATATTTCTTAATGACAAAAAGTGTGTATATCTTTGTGATGGGTTGCCCCTATATTATGGGGTCCTTAGTGATAGGCCAGAGGTCAATATTGATCGCATGTTATACGAATCCAGATTATCACTTTCATAATGTTGGAAATTATTGTAGCAAATATGGTACGACAGATTTAATGACATTCGGATTTTTTCTAACAATTTGCACAAGTTACGGGAGGGAATTATATTGCCTGGCCTAGTCATTTCAATTCAAACAACTTGCTATATGTGTCACTCAAAGTAATAATACGACAGACGATCTAACTATAAGTCGGTCAAGGTGGCTATCCTAAATTCCAAACCCTCTCAAATCACCCCCTAATTAGAAAGTCGATCAAGGTGGCTATCCTAAATGCCGAACCCTCAAATCACCCCCAAACCTAAAGAATTTTCTCACCTAATAATGCAAGTATGATTAGCAACTTGTAGATCTAAAATGTCATGGTTTTAACGTAATTTACTGTATGGTAAAACGTCAGATTTACTACATTGTAACTTTGTTTAAGTTAAAGCGTTACACCACGACTCAGGAAAAAAAAATAATCGTTTCACTAATAACACACTGACGTAGGTTACTAGTGAAACTCTAGTTTTACAGTCTGGTTTTACAATTTAATAAAGACATAAAGTAGTGAACTATTAGTATGAGACGCATTGTTCAAATAACAAACAATGTAGCTACCATTCCCACCAAAATGACCAAAAGATGCAAAAGGAAGAAAGAAAGAGTTGGTAAAAGCAAAATTGATCACGAAATTGCATGGATTTGCACAAACAAACAAAGGATAACAAATAAAGGTGAACACAATAATACGTAGTAGAATAGAAAACATACCGTTAGCGAGATCAAGCAGGAAATCAGCAGGATTCATGGGAAAAGAAGGCGAAAATCCAACCGACTCGAAATAACCCATTGCCTCATTCCCTTTCCCAAAATAGATACTCCTCCCTTCACACAAAACCAGAACCGAATCGAACATCTGGAAAACCCGGCTCGACGGCTGGTGAACCGACGTCACGATCGTCTTCCCTTTCCCGGCTAGCCCAACCAGCGTCGAAACCAGCCGGAACGCCGCCGTGGCGTCCAACCCGGAAGTCGGTTCGTCCAGGATCAATAAACTCGGGTTCACCAGCATCTCGTGTGCTATGCTGACCCTCTTCCTTTCCCCGCCGGAGACTCCCCGGACGAACGAGTTTCCGATCACCGTGTTCTCGCATTTCGATAAGCCCAACTCGCTGATCACCGAGTCGGCGACGGCGATTTTTTCCTTTCGGGTCAGTGATCTCGGGAGCCTTAGGAGGGAACAGAACACCAGCGTTTCCCGGACGGTTAAGTGCGGGTAAAGGATGTCGTCCTGGGAGACGAACCCGGTTCGCCGGAGAATCTGTTTGCTTAGTTTCCGGTTGTTGGCGAGCACTGTCCCGGTCATTCCTTGGCCGTGCGGTAACCTTCCGGCGATTGCATTTAAAAGGGTTGATTTCCCGCTGCCGGACGGGCCGAGTACGGCGAGGATTTCGCCGGGAGAAACCATCCCGGTGATCCCGTTTAAGATTGTGCGAACTTCGGCGCCGGTTGAATTTTCAACGTCCGGTGAAGTAGTGGGCCCCTTACTGGCTGCACTACTGTTAAACAGCTTCTTCATTAATGTCCCACCATTAAATCCGTCCGATCTTTCCAACTTGACACTATAACTTATGTCCATGAACTGTGTAAGGTGAAAGAAATGAACATAATTAATTGTTAAGTTAAACATGCATGATTTTTTAAGTTGAAAAGAAAAAATTTTTTTAAAAAAAACTTTAAGATTTATCTGAAAATGTGTATGTTTTGATTAATGTAAGAAGTAAATTAAGTAGTGTTTGTGTTTATGTTACCTTGAGGGTTATGGGAAAGGAAGAAGAAGAAGACATTGTTGAAGACAAATGATGATGATGGTGGTGGTGTTCTTCTTTTGAAGATTGTGAATCACCAGGGAGTTGCATTTTTGCACATATAAAAACTTTTTGATTAAACAAAATTGGTTAAACAGGGGAAGAGATAGGGATTTGTGGAAGAGAGATTATGAGGAAAAAAGAAGGGGAGAAAGCTAGCTATAAGCAGTAGCTTATGGGGGGGAGTAGGGACTTAGTGTGTGAGTGTGTGTTTTTTCGAGTTTTCTTATGTAAAGTTTTAAGATGGGAGAGAAGGACTGAAGAGAAAGAAAGAAAGAAAAGAGAGAAATGAAGGCAAATTCTGCTTCGAGTTCAGGCCCTATTTATTTTGGTTTTTCTTTTTGCCAATGGTTGATGCATGCCACGTCAAAGTGGTAACCCTACAGACAATGTGATACGTGGCACTAACACTTCATAGCCAGCGGATTCTTTTCTTTAATTTGGTGCTTGAAAGAAGAAAAAGGAGGTTTGTTGATGATGGAAGCTTCCCATTCAGCGCCGTTTCACCTTCAACAAAACTCATGTCATAAAGTATCTTTTTATTTTTTTATTTTTTGTTTTTTCATAGTTTATGTAGCAACGTGTTCACCGTCGATAACAGATTTGTATATCATAGACATTTTAATTTATAGATTGAATAAGCGGTTATGTAATTCAAACATAATTCAAACATTTTAATTTAAAATCATTCTGTATTCACGATATAATTCAAACATTAAACGTTGAGTTAAAGATGAATAAGTGTCTTTCACTCAACTGCAACTATTGTATTTTGGTTGTATCTTTTCACTATACAGTATTTGCTTTTGCTGTGGCCACTTTCTTACTTCATAGAGAGAGAGATCAAAAGCACCAGATGATTGTGGATGATACTCTTTAGAAACAATGGCGATTTGGCTAGTAGATTTTCATGGTTCATAGTGTTTATTATTTCAAATTGTGTGTGCCAAACCAAAGGAATAAAAAATGGTATTAGAAAGGTGGTGCTTTTCGTTTGGCAAATGATCGCTTCATCAACATTATACAAAAAAATTTTCCGTTTTAGTAGTGATAGTGATATAAACACTGAATTTATCTGTAAAAAATGATTTGATAACACGCACAATTATAAAATTATCAATTTCATACGTTAAAATGTTTGGTTTTTTAAATGGTGTGCATATTTTGTTGTTTGGTGTAAAATAGATGGTAAATAATCTAAAACTTGCTTGAAGACATCGTATAAGCTATTGTTCTTAATTCTTCAAAAGAGGTTCTATTAAATGATGCACACTCCGACGAAATCATCCTCACCGATTCCGTAAAATGATGATCAAAAGAGTTAGACGCTTTTTTCTATATTTACAAATATATTTCAATTAAGACGCAATCAGTATAGCTTTATAAATGTAATAAAGACGCAATCAATGTTCTGGCTGTCGAGTTTTCATTGCATGGATAGCCAATTAGCCATGGATGATGGAATTGCGAATTATATTTTTCGTTTACATATAACACATCAATTTGTTAAATCATTTCATCAAAAATTCAGTGTCATTATTATTACTCTTTACCGAAGAGGCGGTATTATTTGTAAATTAATTTGGAGAGGCCTAACTAGTAGTAGTGGGAAATTTCATTTGCCAGTCAATCTAAGAAGCATGATAAGCATCAATTGCCTGCTTTTGTAATCATGGAAAGCCACCACATGTTTATTACAAAAATGAGGAGCCATTATTACAAAGATACTAGCAACAAGAACGAATAAAATTTGTCTACCAAAGTGTCTCTGAAGATATTTCTACTCCTTTTTCTCATTCCATTAACAACTGCGGCTATAATTGATTTCATCTCAAAGTGTAATAATCGAAAAAAGTTTATAATTACTGCAGAAATACATCATCTTTTGGAATTAGTTAATTTCGAATCTATTGATATGGGAAATTTTGTTTTCTTTTTTCTTTTCTTTTTTTTTTTTTTGTCTTTTGAATAGCACACCACTCACTCAAAGTTAGACCAATCACATGCTCTCATACCATTAATATTTATTTTAAATTAAAATTACCCCACCATAAGGATATAAAGAGTAACCAAAGACAATTTTTTAACCATACTTCTTCAAAAGTAAAATTGCACCAATTCGAAAGAGACATATTTCGTGGGAAGGAGGGGAAAAAAATTTAGTTGATCCTACTTTTAGAACATCAGTAGATATGGTCATGTAAACATAGGTTCCTCTTTAGGAGAAAAAGGAAATAGAAATACTTTATGTATAAGATATGCACTTACAGTGATGGGGAACAAGTTTTCACCGAAAAAAAGAAAAGCACATTTCTTGATCGCCTGTAGTTGTTTATTATGCAATGTACTTTTTTCGACTCAAAATTATTATCTATTTTGTATTATTATTTTTATTGTATTTAAAATAAAACATCGTATTGGGACGGAGGAGTTGTTAAACAATGATTTGAGCGTAATATTTTTTAGGATCATGATTTTTAATGGTACAGACTACAGAGACACCCATAACTGAATATACGTTGCAAAAACTAAATCATAGATTATGTCACAATCTTTATATATATAATACGGATCTCCTAGATTTATTTTTCAACTACTTCATATATTGTAGTATGAAATTAGACCATTAGTATCATAGAACGTAAAAAAAACAAATGTTCATATTAAATTGAAATGGATAGATCATCGAATAAATAAACTCAATCCCCTCAAAGTTGGCATCCATGCATAATACCCTTTTAAGGAAACAATGCATATAACCCTATAGCCAAGAAAGAGGGAAAACTGTGGGTTGGGGAAGAGGAGACAATATTGATTGATGATAGTTGAAGTAGTAGTAATAATTAGTGAACAATTACTTCTGACCACCATTGATATCTGAAACCATTGCTGGGAAAAGAGAGCAAAAAATATTTTTTTTTAGATACTACTAGTAGTACTACTAGCTGGCGTACAGCTTTCGTAGTCAGTTAAAGAGGGTGGTGGGTGTACATAGATTTCTGGATTCTAGATAAGTATATAAAGGAAGCTTTACTACACTGCTGCTTTGAGAGTAAGATGATAGAGGCAAGTGTGTGACTGTGTGAAAAATCTAAAAGCTACGGAATCAGCGAAAAAAAGAAGAACCCAATTTCAAGGGGATTCATTTCAAGAAAAAAAAAGAGGTTCACTCAAGAAAGGACACGTTTCTAATGGGGACTATGTGATTTGCTGTATTTTTTTATTTATTTATTTTGTTGTTGGGTTTTGGAGGGAAATTCTTTTTCTTCTTTTCTCTTTGTTTTTCTTTTTGGGGGAAGAAATGAGGAGATTATGGTGGCTGCTGTTATAGTACTGCTACTTTTATGGTTTGACTGTGACGCATGCAACATTGAACAAATTCATTCATTTTACTTGGACATTATTTTTTGTGCTTTTCTTGGTAAAGTTCAGTTCAATTTGGATTCCTGGATGATATATGCATTGTTTCTGTTTCTATTTCTGGTTTCTCTTCTGTCTCTTTGGCCTACATCATAAATAGTATGGAAAATAATGCGAGTCATGATACTCTTTTGGGGAAAAAAGGGTTGGAGGAGTTCATAAATAATGGAAACAAATGAGGGCTTTGGTGTGTAGTTTTTTAATGTAGACGTGTTAATGGCAACAACATTTTTCTCTAAAAATTTTATATAACAATGTATATTGAAAGAGAGATTAGCAGCAATTACAGATTGTGTCTCGTTGATTCTCTCAAAAGGAATAGACCGTTTAAGTCTTGTTAATGATTCATCTTATTGGTGATTTGAACTCTTCAAATTGAACAAAATGATCACTTAAACTGTCATCTATTCATCTCATGTGCAATATTAAAAGTTTTCAAAGATTTCACGTACTTTACGTTAATACAACAGGTACCTTTCTTCAAACGGAAAAAAAAAAATTTCACGAATTTTTGTTGCTGCAAAGTTAATGTTTATACTCAACCCAGTTTTTAGTGCAATTAAGAGGAATTTTGGGAAGTATTTTTTGTCTTACTCCCTCTGTCCCAAAATTATTGTCCAGTTTGAGATTTCATTTTTAGTACAATTTGAACTAGAAATGAAAATCCAAACCGGACAATAATTATGGGACAGGGAGTATATATCTTATCCCATATTTCTAATGAACATGGTGATTCATAATCTAATTTGTAGACAAATTTCTATTTCATTTTATACCATATTTCTAATGTCTTTTAATCAGTCTATCATCACTAGAATAGAATGATTTTTCAATGTGACTCATGCAACATCAATCCATCCGTTTTACCTGTACGTGTTTTTTTCAGCTTTGCAATTGTGCAACTTGGACGATGCTTGTCTCTCTTTCTATTTCCGGTTTCTTTCTTCCTTTAGTTTCTCTTTGTGTAAATATGGTCTATAGATTGGATTTCTTATGAAATTACTAATTGCTTTCCCAAAAGTTTATTCGCAGCATATACGACATGAGATATTCCAACTTTCCTAAAGAACAAAAGTAAGTACTCCCTTCGTCCTATAATTATTTGAGTTTTCATTTCTAGTTCAAATTGTATTAAAAATGAAATCTCAAACTGGACAATAATAAACATTGCACATGTCCTTTTTTTGCCCCATGACTAGCTACAAGGAACATTATTTACTGGAATTTATTTTTAATTGTTTTTCAAAGCTTAATAGTGAACAAGTGAATATAATTGTTCTTTATTTAATCGAGTCAAACAAAATCTTAATGATATGTCGAAAAATATATCGATAAAGAGAAAAGTGCAAGAAAATGCTTCTCCAGAAACACAGTGAGAATCATCCGTTGGAGGAAGAAACAATAATGCCTAATGTTAGTTGTGTGTCAGTGCGAGAATTAAAGTAGGTTCAGTTATATGATTACTAAGAACAATTATTGCGATTAAAGGCCAAAAGAGCCCAACCAGATGCAAGTCACACGTTGTGTCGGGAGAATCAGGCAGATGCAAAAGACTCCTAACTAGAGATAAGCTCGTTTTGCCCAGGGAACGATTCCAGACAAACACGAAATTTACTCAAAATAGTAAATGAGAGCTTTGTAATTGTAGTAACATAGTTGTGTTCTACTTTCATTACACTACTAGTAGCAAAAGTTGTTCTCCCAAGTCCCATCCACCATTTTACGGCAAAAAAGTGAATAACATGAGAAAGGTAGCTTAAATTGATCGCCAAAAATGTCTTAAAGAAACAACTTTTACATATTTTCATAGACTTCAAGCCTTCCTGGCCAGCTGCGATTCAGGCTGCAAAATTCAACGAGAACAGGTCAGGAGAAAAAGAACCGAAAGGGTCTGACAGGAAAATATATCCTAAGCAAAAATGTGTTTTAATTCATTACCTCCTTCTTGACAGGCTCTTCCTTCTCGGACAAAATCAGCTCGATATGGCAAGGGGAAGACATGTAGGCTGCCAGATGTTAATCCTCTAGTTAATATCCAAAACATTGCTGATGATTGGGATATAAAGAAAGATGCCAGTATAAAAAGACTTACGGTTGATCCTTCCGTGGGCACGGTAAGTCCTGCGCCTTTGCTTTTGTGCTTGGTTCACTTGAATGTGAGAAATGAAAAGTGAATCCACATCCAAGCCTTTCACCTGTAAGCCGATAGCCATCAAACATTAAAATTTAGAGAAGTCCAAACAAGGAAGGATTCTCAATTGGACAGGGGAGCATAACAGACTCACATATCATTTGATACAAATAACTACAGCGCAGGCCATGGATAACAATACCTCTGCATTACTCTCGGCATTCTTAAGCAAATCCAGGATGAATTTAGCTGATTTTACAGGCCACCGACCCTGCCCATTTGGATGCCTGTTTTTGGCCTGAGCAGTACGCCCAACACCACCACAGAAACGTGTGAAGGGGATTGCCTGTTTATGGGCCAAAACATCTTCCAAGTACCTCTTAGCCTTGTCTAAGGGCAACTTCCTGATGGCATGTGCAGTTTCCCTGGTGTTCTGACAAGAGATAAGGTACCTCGGTTATATAGGTTGCATTGATTGGAGCAAATTAAAATTCAATCTCAGAAGCAAAATAATGGACAGGAGAAACAGACCATTGCCAAACAAACAACTTCTGCTTAACGTGTATATAAGAGTAAAATTAAACAAAAATAACATGATTGTGAGAATGTAGGGAAGATGATTGTTGAAAGTTTTCAACAAAATATTTGAAATACAACTGCCCATCTTCCTCAATAATACTGTTGCAGAGAACACTTTCGAACAAAGCGCATTAAAAAAACTCGCACTACGTCGATACACACAATCCCTGCTTAGGCGTCAAAGTGATGAGCATGAGTACATGATCTTTCCAGGCTACTTAACAAACCCTTCCAGCTTTTTGTACTCTATTACATTAAATTTGATGCCAAAGATGTGAGAGCCAAAATAAAACAGTATATTACATGTCTCAGTAAACATTGTTACATTATGACTTCCAACTAAAATACGCGTTTAAATCTAAAACAAGATGGGCCTGGCAAAGAATCTCGAATGACATCCACACACATACCCATAAGTAATGAAAATAAACAGAAACAGACAACATTGAAAGACACATGATGGAAGCAAATCACACATACAGAATCCCAGAAAATTAGAATTCAATCAAAATCCAAAAAATGTAACATCGTTTACTGAACCTTTCCATCATAAAGAATTCAGGTGGTTCACCCAATAACAATGAAACTTTTATCTCCCTGAAGTTTACGAGAGGCCCATTCACGGTAGAAAGGAAAAAGCCCCTGCTTTTTTCATCAGGTAATCCTAAACAATGCAAATTAATGATCAAGCAAGTTTGTCACCAGGCTGATTTGATCTTTGTTCTGTACTCCTACATTCTAGGTTTTCCACTTTAAAATATGAATCATGTTAGGACCGATAGCCCAGTCAGTCAGGACAAATGCTCAAACTGTCTGCCAAATACATCCAATAGCTAGATGCTGGAGCGAAAAAAATATCATTGTGTACCGAACATTTCCACCATTACAAGTGTTCAAACAAGTTTACTCAATAACAAGGAAGGCTTATTCTCAGTTAAAACCACGCAGATAACAAGATGCCCCTGCTTTTCTCAATCAGTTATCTTAACTAGAACACAGTAGAAGGTTTGCCAATCAAAACCCCTAAATCCTCATTCAAAAACATTTCAGTTCAATAATGCTAAAATACACAAACAGTAAAACCAACCATAGCTAAGAAGTAAAACAACACCAAAATTCCACACAGATAAAACTAAAACAGCTACATTGCATTTAGGAAAAAAAAGTAGAAAAAGAAGCTACCTTAAAATGAACACGAAGATCCGATCCCCTAGCCTTACAAGCTGCATTGAAGCACCAAAGGAAGCAAAACCCAATTAAGCTACCAAAAAAAAAAAAAAAAATCCAAAGAAATTTAGAAACGATAAGGAACACACTATCAGTAAGAGAACTTACACTTAGTCTGATTGTCTGGCTCCCTCGAATACTTAACCTGATTAACCAATCCAAAAAACAAACAAGTGTTAAATCAATTGCAAAATCCAAATTCCTTTGCTGCGTGAAAACTAAACAAAACATCAACGGAGAAGAATTCCTCCGAGGATTAAAAAGAAGAATATGAATTAACAAACGGAAAGTTCCCTCAAAATGAATGCAGAGAACTTTTCAGGCGAGAGGTTTACTCACCATATTGATTCTGGTTCAGCGCCGGAGGAAGGGAGAAATGCAGGGGAGAGTGCGCTAGGGTTTTTGAAGTAGCGGATTGAAAGTTGGAACCCTAAGACTGATATGCTTATATGGTCTTGTTGCCACACGGCCCATAGTAAATATTAAGTCTGGGCCATTAGTATTTTCCCCTTAACTTAGAAGCCGATCCAATGAGTGAATTCTAATCAGCCCAATCAAGTGAACAACACTTATTCGTCTACTATATAGTATAGGGAAAAGTTGTGTAAAGGACAGTTAAAGTAGTTAAATTAATAAAAGGGTACAGTACATAATTTGTAATAAAGGCAGTAACTTATTTCTTAAAAATTATAAAATAAAATACTCCCTCCGTCCCATAATTATTGTCCAATTTTAATTTTCATTTCTAGTTCAAATTGTATTAAAAGTAAAATTTCAAAGTCGACAATAATTTTGAGACGGAGGGAATAAATATTTTTGACTAGACTGCCCACAAGTTCAAGTTTTCCCTCTTTCCTTTAATGAAAGAAAAGAAAAAAAAAAAAAAACCTCTCAGCTTTGTTTAACAATTCCCATTCCATCCTTCAAAAATCCTGAAAAAATCCTAAAGTGATGAAGATCACGAGTTCTGCCAATTAATATTCCTCATTATCGATATTTGACATATCCCCAATGATTATACAAACCATTCTTAATGATTTTTATGCTAAAAACAATCAAATAAACAAGGGCACCTAAAATTCAAACTCTAATTATTCACTCACAACTGGAGTTTCACCCGCCATCTTCGTCGGCAATGTTCACTTCGTGCATTCTCAATTTTTCAGATTGGAAAAAAAAAAGAAAATTAATGTTCAATAACATTTATCAATGGCAAACATCAAAATATTCCATTGCTATCTAAAGTTGTTGGATTACATACGCAATTGGAAACAAACCCACAACTTGAAACCAAAATTCATTGACCTTTAAGTTTGTACTACTTCACTGTACAAAACTTTGAAATCAAGATTTCCAGTATAATGGAGACTAGGGTTAATAGAAAAGTCTCATTCAATAACATTCTTCATATTTTTGTTTATTTTTTCTTTATTTAGTTTGGGGGATAATCTTGTCAATAGGAATATATTTTTCTTTTATGATTTTTCACAAATAAGTCTATGCCCTTATTACAAATTATGTAGAAGTTATACCCCTTTTATTAATTTAGCAACTTCCACTTCCCTTTATACAAATTTTTCCTATAGTATATAATAAATACTAGATTTATTCTCGGTTTGAAAATAGATTATAAAAATTGCTACCGTTGTACGGACAAATGTCGAAAATAGAAGGCGTAAAAATACATACAAAGTTACAACTTAGTTGATTCTCTATTTTTTGGTACAGAATAATATATTTTTTTGGAGGGGTTGGAGGAATCCTTAGGAGCAATTTTTATGCTGTAATTAAATGTATGTGTGCTTATTTGGACGTCAACTTATATTTCATTTTGGCACTTAAAAGTGGAAAGTGTTTCAAACTGAAAATTAAATGGGAAATAAAAATGTTGTTTGGATGTTGGTTTTGAAAAAAAAAAAGTATTTTGAACTACATTTTGAAATATCAAGTACAAGCCATCACTAAATAATTAAATACTGTCAATTATAGTCACTGCAAAAAAGAACTTTTTCAAAAACAATCACTCAACAACGGAATCCTGTCAAATTTGTCACTGAACTATTTGTAGTTCTAAAATGGTCATTATACTAACAAAAAGTGTTTCAAGTTGGAATTTAAAATGTAAATCAGAAAGTTGTTTGGATGATGTTTTCTTTTCCATTAGATTTTGTGTTTAAGAGGTAAAATGAGACAAAATGCAAAATGGAAGGTTGGCCAAACAAAGCCTAGTAATTTTGCTTGTCATTTATCTTTTGTTATTCGTTAGAAGGGTATTTCTTTCTTCTTGCTATTTCACCTTTTTTGTTCAATTCATATGGTTTAGGATAAAAAAAAAGAAAAAAAAAAAAGAAACACAAATTCCGTTGATCTTATTTGCACAAACTATTAGCAAAATTAAAACTCTAATTGTTATGACTTTATTTTAATTTTTATATGAAAAATCAGTATCATATTATTACTTGATTAGAACAAGTTTTGTTAGAATGTCTAAATATATTTTATTAATTAGGAGTAGTTCTGTTGGAATATCTAAGTATATTTTATTAATTTTTCTTTTTTATGAAAAAGTAAGGACATAAAGAGCTTGTTTGGAATTGTACCTTAAGTCTAATTTAAGAAGATTTTTAAAACTTTATAATTTTTCCTATAAAATTAAAGAACGCCTAAAGTATATCTTGTTTGGACGTCATCTTACATTTCATTTTGCCACTTAAAAGTGGAAAGTATTTCAAGTTGAAAACTAAATGGGAAATGAAAATGTTGTTTGGATGGTATTTTGAGCAAAAAGTTGTTTGGATGTTGGTTTTGAAAAAAAATATTTTGAACTACATTTTGAAAATATCAAGTACGAGTCATCACTAAACAATTAAATACTGTCAATTATGGTCACTGGAAAAAAGAACTTTTCCAAAAACAATCACTCAACAACGGAATCCTGCCAAATTTGTCACTGAACTATTTGTAGTTCTAAAATGTTCATTACACTAACAAAACGTGTTTCAAGTTGGAATTTAAAATGTAAATCAGAAAGTTATTTGGATGATGTTTTCTTTTCCATTGGGTTTTGTGTTTAAGAGGTAAAATGAGTTAAAATGTATGAGTGGACGTCCAAACAAGCCCACACAGATTTTATCAGATGCTTGATAAATGTAGGTGCATGAAGTCTTATGACAAGATTAGTAGCAATGCAAGTTCAACGTGCATATTCATGTAATGCTTAAGATTTATGCTTCTCTATCATGTTTAAAGGAAGGGGAGAAAAAACAAAAAAAGGAAAACCAAAACGAAGGAGATGGAAGCAGTTGAAAGCCTTATTTTTTCTTTTTCTTTTTTTTGGGTTATACTGAAAATTCCCTACCTATTATGTTTTATTTGTATTTAATTATATTTTTAATCCACTTCTCCACAATTTGTTAAGTAGGATTATGATTTGTCACATTAATATTAACAAAATTAAGTTGCGTACCAAGTATTATATTTTTTATTAAAGAATTATATTTTTATCTTTACTTATTTACTTATGTGACTCAATCCCTTTGACCTCTTAAAAATATCAAGATATCTTAGTGGCGAAATAAGTTTCATCTTAATTCCTTCTTATATAAATGATAAAAGAGCATGCATAAAGCTCGTTTCATGCCCTAGTGGTTCATAATTAACATACTTCCTTTCGATAGATATTACCTAAAAGAGTATGCACTATTAATTTGTAGATATTGCTCCAAGGTAGTATGCAATCTATACGTCATTTTTAGTGCCATGAAATAATTAATAGTGCATGTTTCTTTTAAAGTATGATGCCTATTGCCTAAATCAATTCTCTAATTAATTTTAAGCCATCAACTTATATAGGCACACACGTGGTTTCTCCTTTCCTATATATGATTTTTTAGTAGTAGTAGAGATGTGTAAACTCTTAAAAATATCCCCTCAGTTTCAGTTCTACACTTCTGACATCTATCCTCCCAATCAATTGAACAATCAATCTTTACCCAATCAATTATCAGTTTTAGGTGTAAACCTTTTAGTATCACCCCTTCCCCCACCCCAATCAATTTCAGTTTCAATAGTGTAATTTTGCTATTTAACAAGAAACCTCCTTCCCACTAACAATTACCAAGTGCACTCTAGGAGAAAGTTTTGGTAGACTTATCTCTCTTTGATTGGAATGATTGATAAGTTTGAAAAGTTTTTATTGCCAATTCGACTCTACGGAGTTATTTGAAACAACCAAAAGACAAAAGAAAAATCAAGCAGAGCAATTAGATAAGCAAAGCAATTGATCTTTGTGGACATGTATGATTATTCTTCCTTGAGCTCCTCCCTTTCTAAAATCTATAAAATCTATTTTACTTTGATCTTTTGGTGTAGAGGATGTTTTGGTGAGTGAAAAGAGATTGGGTATTGAATTAGACTTGATAGTACTGATGATATCTATAGCATAGAAGGATTAATCCATCTTTCAAAATTGTTGCATTTATTCCTATTCTATGTAACCCGAGACATGTGGAATTTAATCCATATTACCTATTTTAAGTGAATATGAATAATTTGTCTTATGCTCAATCATGTTAGTTCTTTTCGCTTTGAAGATGTTTTCCGCTGTTATATAGATGTTCTTCACTTTTTAGGGCCTCTTTTTTCTTAGTGCATAACCAGACTGCCTTGTGCATTTTTTTCTGAATGGAACTTTGGTAATTTTCTGTAATTGGGGACGGTATCTTGTTGAACACTCTCCATTGGATCGTTTAAATAATTATCTCTGACATATATTTTGGATTTGTCACCTTTTCTTTCTAGTGTTAGTCTGATTCCTCTGACATATATTTTGGATTTGTCACATTCTCATTCCTTTTAGTAAGAGGTATAATATTAAACTGGATAAATACTCCCCTGCTTCATGTAGATATAATTGTATATGTAATATGTGTAATTCCTTGAACCTTTTAGTACTATGTAGCTTGATTTATAATGGTGCTAGGATGTTGTTTAATTTGTAAGGACGAAAAGGGCTCTCAAACGATATTGCGTTGATTATAAGTTTATAACTATCTCTTTTTGATATGTAATGTTAGATAAAGTTGGGTTACGTCACATGTCACCGGAGAATTTGTTGGCTTCCTTTCAAACATATATAAGGGGGATTGCTAAAAACGTTCTTCTCAGTAACGACTACTTTTCTTTCTCTTCTAACTGTCAACTTTTATCTTTTTACCATAACATCTCCAACTGCTTGTTGAAAAACTTCACGAATTGTAAAATTGTAGATAGGTATTCCATAAATTTTATCTTATCATTTATTAGAATTCTTTCCTTGAAAACATGACCTTCGTCGTCATAGCATGAAATTGACACCACCGTGAGCATTCTCGATTAAGATTTGCAGCCATTCTCAATTATAAGTTGTTGTTTTCTCCTCAATTGAGATCTCCTTAGAAACGTGTGGAAGCATCAGGAGCTCAACTTGAAAACCTAATATAAGGTGATCAAATTTTGAGAATTTTGGTTTGACTTTATAAACTTGGTTCTTCTTTTGAATGTTTAATCTGCATTTACCGATATTCATAATTTGGTAAAGACAATTATAGTTATGAAATGAAAGACTCTTGGTCCCTTTGGGACATTTGATTCTTGTATTTATTCATGATATAATATTCCAGAAATCCAGTGCAAGCTTGAAATGTTTTTTATTTCTAGAATTGTGATGCCTTATCAAATTTATTTCCCTCATTCCTTTTCAAGTTTAGTATTTCGAAAGATGGATCTGTTTGTAAGCCTTTGAAATAAGAATTAGTTAGATACAATGTGGTTAGTCATGTTGGTTTACAAGATGTCCTTTGTCATAGCTTTGTTATCAATTTCCATATTTTTTGGTGTGTTATAGGCCCTGTAATTTACAATATAGAAGTGAACAGTAAAAAGACGCAGATGTGAAGAACTATTGTACATTAAACCATACAAGAATCAACACCCTAAGATATTAAACTGGTGAAAGAAGTAGGAGGTTCAAACCTTCCTCCATGTTCTCTCACTCATTTCATATTTTTATTTTTTTAAATCATTAACCACTGCGATACATATTTCAAGCAACCGTAAATGTATTACGACTTCTTCGCCTTTAGAAAAGTTATTATTGTACTAGAGATGTACGTAGAACTTAGCAATAATGTATTGTAGATCATTCCCTACGACAACATAAAGAGATGAAAATTTTTATAGTTAGTAGAATTTTCTATGTTATACTCTATGTTACCTCTTTAACTCAGTATACACTTCAAGTGATATCATCATGATGCACAAAAATAATAATTCTTGTATGTCAACCAATACTAACTAAATTTACATCACCTGCTAAAGAATAGAAATGAAGATGCCTGTGGAGTTCATGGACCTTTGATTCAAGCAGTAGTGAAGTTAAAATATCAAAAGTGGTTTGGGAATTTGTTGCATTAGAATTTTTCAGTCTTGAAGGTTTTTAGATTATCTGTAATCTATCGTATCAAGTTAATATTGTCTAAACAAGATGTAGTTGACGTTAAGCACTAGCACAATATGATGATTTGTCAATTGGATAAATCCTTTAAAGAAGGAAGTAGACAACTTGAAGCCAGTAGAGATATCATCATAAACTTCATGAGCAATGTGCGCTTAGTGAGTAAACTTCCTAGCTAAATGAACATAAACTTCTTAGCTAAATTTGTAATAGACATTCTTCCTCCAGTTTTTGAATTTATTCAATTGAATTCGATTCAAGGGCTTAAAAGTTTAAACAAGTAAATGAAACTTCAACTCTTTTATTTCTTTTTTACTTCTTCTTCTTCTTCTTTTGGTTTTGTTTAGTTACAAATTGGACATGCGCTTCAAATCATATTGAGCATGCACAACATGAAAGTATTAATAGATTTTGGTGCAGGCTACAGACTTATGTATGAAATTCTAAATTGAAAATGGTATGAAAATAATATGAAACCAGGAATTATGACCCACAAAAGTGAAAATACATAAAAAAAATTACTTTATTTTTTTAATACACATAAACTTTATATAAACTTTTATTACAAAGCCAAATTGATCTCCCCCAAAAAAATTTTAAAACTATAAAATACCTAAAACAACACTAATAATGTAAAACCATTCAGATCTTATCCCAATAATATACATTAAAACGATAGCTTGTGAACTTCACGTTTATCATGACTTTTGCTTAAAAAACAGTTCTCATTGTCTTCTCTTCTCAGTATAAAAGTACACTTGTTACTAATTCAAAGTTATAATTACAATTGATATCAATTATTAAATTTTTTAATAATGTCGTTTACTACATGTTACATAACCTTCATTCCATCGAAAGACACGAAGGTGAAATTCTTCCAAATAAAAATCTACTATTCAATATATTGGGCACACGCGGAGCATATTGGCTCCCAAAATCTACTATATGGGAATTTTGGCAGTAACCTCTTCACACAAGCTTTGAGTCTTCTGTGCCACATTTGTATGACACTTCTTGTGACACCATCTAAAATGATGATAGGTGTCCCTTAACTTAAACCTATTCATAGTCAAACCAAACTTTGATTAATTCATCTAATTAATTAATTAACTCAATATGATAATAAAAACAAATATGAGTTTTCAAGGAAAAAAACCCATCCATACTGTACCCCTTCGGCCAAACCTTCCCTGTCGCCAACGTCGCCCCTCAATTTTGCTGCTGATTAAATGAAAAAATTCTAGCTCCATTAACAAACAACAATTTGCTATATTAGGTCAAAAGATTAAATTTGATGTACAAGAGATCTTTCATATCATCATCATTATCATTGATACGAGAAGCAACCAAAAGTTTGACTCTACGGGTTGGTTGTAGGATCGGAGATGGTGAATGTCTACAAATAAGGGTCCTCCGTCATAGAGAGCCAAATCGTTGATGTGCACGTTTGAACCTCAATAATGATTTGGCAAAAATTTCTTTATGGTTAAAATTATGTTGTTTGGAAAATAATCATGAAGATGACGCTGCCAGCAGGAAAATGGAGTAGGACGCCGTCGCCGAGAGAGGAGTGAGCCCGAAGAGTATAACTGGGAAGATTTTTTAATTTTTTGAAAAACTCATATATGTTTTGATGGACAAAACTCACTTTCAGACCCCGAGCAAGTCCAAGTCACCATACACTTCACTCAATAAAATGAGTATCTTAAAATATTTTTCTCATCAATTTTGATCAATTTAACAAAAACTTTGGGAAATTAACCGGTCAAACCCTTATTTCGTTAATTTCTTATTAATTTAAATAATCTCCTACTAATTGTAGGGGCTACACCTTTTTCCTAAGCGGCACTATATATATATATATATATATTTGAATCCACCCCGTTGATCCTTGGTCACTTTCTACCAGTAAAGTTACCTTAAGCGACATTTATTTAATCATATGTGTAGAAGGCGATTACTATCAATAATATGCATCAAAGTCATAAACGGTGATGAACTTTCATGTCAATATTAAGAATGTGCGACAAACTTTGGATTGATTAATTTTAGAATTATTAAGGTCTTCCATTTACTCCCTCCATTAAAAAAAAGTGTCATTAGATAAATTACACATAGTTTAAGAAACTCTTAAATATGACAAGTAAATTACTAGAATATCTTCAACTAACCTCATTAAAATAAATATTTGCCAATAATACTAATTCTATTTTTTTATCTGTCGCTTTAGGGTGAATCTAAATGTTTTTTTATTTATCGCACTTCATTTCCAATGCGGTATTAAATACAATTTTTTCAGTGTCACCCTTATCTCCCTCTACTTTTAATAATATATATTAGTGACAACTACCTATCATTTTACTTTAATTTCAAATTTTTGTAGAGTTCCAATACGGTTAATTAGGTATTATACTTAAAATTATCAATGATTGTTACTTAATACCTATGCAAATTCTAAAACGACAGAAAAAAAAATAAAGAGTAAGTTTGGAAATTTTGAACCGGTTAGCCGGAGAACCGGAGGCCTTTTTCAGTTCGGTTTCTAAAATGAACTGGATTTTTAAAAACCTAGTCAAACTCGGTCAAATCCGGATGAAATCATGGTTTGACCGAAAATCGGTACCGTTTAATTTGGATTTTCATAAATATTTTTAAAAAAATCAATTTTTAATATTACTTCAACCGGTTTCCACCGTTTTTGAAGAACGAGCTAACCATCAACCCAGCTAACTCACTAACCCGGTAAATTCGGTTTTAAAAACATAGCAAAAAATGTATTAAAATACGAAAACAACATTTATTTTGAAATTTCTCTATTTTCACTTATTTTGGAAATGGAGGGACAAGGGAGTATTATCATCGTCATTATTTTAGAATAGGGATTCTCTGTTAAGTGAGTTTCCTTTTTGAAAACGCTATATCTGTAAAAATGGCGGGCTGAAGCCAAAAAAAAACCCAAAGCCCTCTCCGTTCCATTCACTAAATCGATCTTTCTTTCCTAATCGAATGTAAAGTGCCCAACTTTCGAAAGATGCAGAGCAATGTGGAAGACAGTATTCGGAAGAAAATGGAGGAATTGAGTCTGGTTTGCGACAGAGAGATCGCGATTCAGCAACAGAGAATCGATTCAGCCCATTCGACGTTTCGGAAATTCCTCCAAGATGCCCAGTTGAAAGCTCAGGAAACCCTCGAAATTCAAGGTCCAGATTCCTGGAAAAAAGAAGCTTCAGTTTGTTTTTAAAGTTTTGAGCTTTAGTTATTCCTTTGCCTTTGTTAATTTGGGATTCTTGATAATAGTACGTGTTGAAAAGATGGTAACTGTGTCTTCTCTAATTTTGTTGTTGCAGCAAAGCTACGGATGCTGAAAGCTGAGTTGAGGACAGTAGAAGCTGAATTGGTGAAAACCCTTGCAGGTATGAAAACCCTAATGTTGGTTTATTATGCTCAGGGAAATAAGGTAAAAAGGTGTCCTGAGTTTCAAACCGAAGTCTTCTGAAATAAGGACTGAGACTGATTTGATTGATTGGTTTGAACTAGAGTGAAATTTGATAAGGATTTTGTCTTGTTTTTGTGCGCTCAACGTTGATGTCAAACTTAGTAGTATTTATAGGTTGGCAATTTTCTGGATTTTGAAGATGATTTATGGATGAACAAATTGACTTATTGGGAATGTTTAATGGCCTCGAACGATCTCTGATCTGAAAGGATTTGGCAGTTCTGCAGGAACAGTTCGAACTCTTAATTACATCGAAAGTGTCTCCTATGCTTATTTCAGATCTTAAGTTGGGGCGATAGACTTGTCTAATCATTTCCATATTGTTATTATTGTTACTTGGTTCCTCTAATTCAGAATGATCATCTTAAATGGTTAGTTCCTAGTACTTTATACCTTCAATCTTGTGTACATGACAAATTTTATCCCTGTTATTTGATAAATAGATAAGTTTCAAATTGGGATTTTCAGCTTGTAATGTCCGATACTAGTGATAAAAGAATGAACTTGAACTGTTGCTTCATCACTAACGTTCCTTTGCAGATGTTGCTCATTGATATTTGCTGTTCCTTTTACCTCTGTTTGTTTGAAGGAGTAATTACTTTGCACACCATCTCTTAGCATGCCATCTTTGTTAAACACATACATTATTAGACGTAAGGATAATGGAATGAGTTCTTATTGGTTCTGTTTGAAATGATAATGGGTACTCAGCAATTTCTTTCTAGTTTGGGTTGTGACTGATGTAATCCTACTGTTTAGACACCCCCGATGTGAGACGCCCCCGATGTGCAGTTTGCATTGAAGCTTTTTTTGGCCAAAATATTTTGTACTGTGAAATATTTTTTTTTTTGTGCAAAATTGCAAGTTTACAGTATTTTTTTTTTTTTTTTAAATACTTGAATTGGAGATTTTGGTATAAACTAAGGATGATGACTTGAAATGGCTATAAAATTGTTTAAAAACTGCTATGAGATTCATATACATATATATATATATATTTTTTGTTGATTGTGGGATGTTTGTATGTGTGTGTGTATGGGGTTGCAAATTTTCATCAAGCTGCCATTGATGGTTGTGATAACAGAACTTGAAAATGATTATAGAATAGTTATAACTGAAAAATATACATAGCTGTTTGTAGTTTTGGTGTAACGATCCTTTCACTATCTGTCTTTGTTATCTCCTTGCAGTCAAGAGGTCTTAAACTTTGGTCGCTTGCTTGCATTCCAACTGTTTCCCCACCCAACCCAGCCCTCCCTTCAATTTGGAGTAATGATCTTGTTTAACTATAGCTTTTAAAATATCAGTTGGTTGACCTTACTTGCCTTGATGTGAATAGTCAGTAGTCTTTCTCTTTGTGGTCTCTTCTCAGGTTTGATATTAATTTTTGCAGTGTTTTAGCATCAATTTTTAACATGATTTTGGAATAGGCTTTTCCAGTGAAATGATTGTTTCGTCAACAGTTCAAACTGTTCTGATCAAATTCATTCCTTAACATTACACCAATCAGTTTGACTTGAATACTTGATAAGTATTATTTTATTTTAGTACGTCATACTTCCACAGTATTCAGAGTGTCACTTACTTCAGTTTTTTTTTTAATAAGAAATGAAATTTATTGAACTGTTAAAGGTTTTAACTCTTCTGATCTCCATCTTCAAATTTGACTAATGTTATTCACCTGAAATTAAGAATTGACTTTTACCCAAAAACAAAAGTATTGACTTGTGTTTATGGGGTTGAAAAGCATGTAAAATTACTGAAACCTGTAAATGTTGGAACCTAAGGAATGAGCTACAGTAGCTCGGCATTTATCTTGTTGTGATAATCTTTATACATTTGTTGTCTAACCTCAACCAGATTGTTGATGCATACCATTGCAATTGGTGTAACCATTCCTACAAGGCAACTGAAAATCCAAATGTCCTCCATTTTAAAATTATTTGTGCCAGAAAACTAGTTGCTAAGTGAGACAATCAAATCATGGAAGCCAAGATATATTTACTCCTGTGAATTAAGTTTAAAACTTGAACTAATATGTCAGAGAAGTTTAATTTCAGGTCGCAAATTTTGCTTTTCATACGAAAATGAGCATTCCCATCTGTTGATAATGTATAAGATAAAGCTCTTGTGTTTTAATTAAGTGATGCCTTTTGAGTATTTTGAACTTCTGTAGAAAGGTTAGAAAATATATAGGAGTATGTATAGTAGAATTCATTGCCTGTAACATTTTAAAACTGAACTCATGGTAAGAGAAGTTGCCTCCTAATCTGGACCACACAGCTTACTTTTCATCTTTGATTAACCAAAATTTGCGTTGTTTCTTTCGAAGCCATATCTGACCGGTTTTGTTTTCCATTTGCAGCAAAGACCAGAAAAGAGGCAGAGCGGTTGGCCACCGTTGATTCCATAGCTGCAACAAAAGCTAGACTTGAAGGATTGAAAGGTCTCATTGAAGATCAAAGGGCTCGGAAAAATGAATATGCAGAAATAATATCGCAGCAATCTGGTGGTAACTTTCTTTCTTTTAGATACGAGCTATGATGTAAATAACAAGAAGAGAACATTTGTTTTGTGTTGTTGCTAAAATTCTGAGGGTTGCCGAAGGCAGAGTATGGAGCTCTGCCTAATGGTTATGTTCAAAAAAGTTTTATTTTTTTTTTTGGGTCAAATGTAAATCTGTGTATTATTCACAAGAGCTGATCATCTTCTGTACATCTGCTAATCGATTACAATCATTTAGTGTACCAATCCAAGTTTTTCTAAAAATCGATTGTCATTGTTACTACCTCTTCTATAATAGTTCTGAATTTTCCATTTTACCTCCATTACAATCTGGCTTCTTCAGCTAATTTGGTGCAGCCAAACTTCCTTTCATTTCGCTCCTTTCATTTATGATAAACAGCAGCTGTTACGCCTGCAAACAGAATCTTCCTTCTCAACTTCTTATACCTCCAGTATTTCAGCATCCAATTAACATTCCTTCTGAAAGTTGTCATCATTCTCAAAACGCCAATCCATTTTAGCACTAACTGTATTAACTTCTGAGAATAACCACAAGTGAAGAAAAGATGATCTACATTTTCTTCAGGAGCACCACATAGGTCACATTTTGCAGTACCTGATAGAAGCCCATTGCTATCATTCTGTCTTGTGTTAGTAGCCTATCTTTTGCTGCCATCCAGCGTATGAAGCTATGCTTAGGCAGGTTATAAGTACTCCATATGTTCAAAAAAGTTGAAACTTTTTAATGAAATTTTTTTGAAAAGGAAGATACTACAACTGCTTAGTGATTGTTGTCTGGTCTTGCATTATCTGGATGTGCTGGCATTTTACAGCTACTCCCTGATATAGTGTATTACTAAAAGAATAATGACTCAGCCCTCTTTACCATTATTATTGATTCTTTTTACTAGTACAAGGTTGTGTTTGGCAAATCTTAGTCGTGCAAGTGATGCATTTAGTCTTTTGGTTGCACCTAATAAAGGCTTGTTGTTTTTGTGCTGTCTTAGGTTCGGAACTTAAAAGACCATCAGTTTTAATTTTATTCCTGCTTCACTTATAATGACTTTTCTTTCCCTTGACTTTTTTGAACACAGCTCTCATGGAACTTGAGGATCTACATAACAGAAGCAATGGTCAGCGGGAAGAAGTTGAAGATGCTATATCGTGGTACAGTAAAGTCCTTGGGTTTCAGATTGAATGCGGGCATGGTATGTAAGCTCCTCCTGGACACAGGTGTCTGAAAATATAGCTGTATTTGGTCTTTTCTTATTTATTTATTTTTTCTTTCTGAGTTTGCTGTGGTTGGAGTTTTCTTACTTGCTGTGTTTGTCTCTCCTTTTACGTTTTCAGGGGTGAAATTTGTATTTACCAACATTGACTTCAAGAATCCTAATCGGCAGTACTCCTTCACGGTCCGATACGAGTCTGATGTGTACACTTGTAAGTGATGGTCATCCCTATGTAATTATTTCTTGATTCAGTTAGGTTTTATTTATACTTCACCACCAGTGGTCTGATAATACAGTTGTAACTGGTACCTGTCATCTCAACATTTTTTCCTTGTGCGTCTTGTGTGATATTTGGGTATTAATTTCTAATGGGAAGGACTGAAACTATATTTTATTCACATTTTTCATCAACAGTACTTGATTGTGATCCACCTCTGAGCCACACAAAGGAGTTACTTGAGGAGTTAAATCAAACCAATGGCCTGTTTAAGTTTGTGAGAACCATGAGGGTGAAGTTTCAAGAGGCTACAGCACGTGGTATGGTCCTTTAAGTTTGAAGTAGCTTTCACTAGGCTCTAGATTTGAGAGGGACAGGAAATTTGTTGCTAATGACGCCATTAATATTGTCACTACTCTACCCCTGCCCCTTCTTCTTGTAACTTGCTTGGGTTGAACATGAATATAAAAATATCTCTCTCAAATAGATCATTATATTTCTGCGTGATGCTGTTGATCTCCTATATTATTGTCTTTTCTTGAAATGTGCAATAACTGCTGAGCATCTTTTTCATAGTTTATGCACTCACATCGTGGAACTGTCAATGTTACAAAAGAGAGAAATAAATGAACTTATGTGGGCTTCTATTTCCACAGCTATAAAAGTGGATGGTACAACTTTTTGTGCATTTTATTCAGGGAAAGTTGATTTGTTTCTATTGGTATAACTTTACAGGAAACTTTCCACAAGTTATATCGAATGATCAAGACACTTCAGCCATCTCCTTGTCTGCTCCAGTTTCTTCAGTTTCAACTGACTGTGGTAGTGAATCTCCAGGCAAGAGAAAGGAGCTCCAGCCCGTGGACTTTAACAGGCACTCCAAAAGGACTAGCAACACCAAAGGTAGTAGACAAGCAATTTTGTCACCGGGTTCTGCTTCATCTCTTCGTCGCTCGCCACGCTTTAAGGTACTTCACGTTAAATGAGCGAAAAATGAACTGATATTCTTTCCAACAACGACCCCATTTTTTAAATTTATGACTACTGTTAGATTTGTTTTGGGAGAAGGGGGGTTCCATTGGTGGAGTTAAAGATTTTTCTTTCATCTGCTCTCAAAATGCATGTGCTACGATAGTGAAGAAAATATATACGAGTCACAGAGAGTTGTTTTGAACCATAGGTCTTCTTGTAAACCAAAGTTCATCACCTTTTAAACCTGAGCGTAGCCACACTGATAGGGATACAATTTTTAGACATAGACATGTTAGTCAACTTGCTCCAAAAAAAAAATAAAATTCATTACTCAACAAGGTAATAAAGGGAACTTTTTTTGTGTGTTCTAAGAAGAAGTTAAGATTGGAAAGCTTATAACATGGCAAGATAAAATGGAGATAGATTAGCTTTGGTGAATTACAAATGCTGCTAGGGTGTTTTGAGTTCTGAAATGTGAATATATTCTCCCAGAATAAGCTACAAGTCGAAAAAAGGAAGAACTAAGTCCAAGGTGGAATTGTTGCTTAATAAAACTCAACAAGCAGCAGTTAGAGAGGAAGTGATAGAAAAGAATAATCTGCGAATACATTTTTTTTTGTGTCAACCAAAGCATAATATTGAATGTTTTAAGCCTAAGACAAAGAGTACGAGTTACGGTCCTGAAATGGTCTAATTTGTTTTAGGAAGATGCATATATCCCTTCTCCCTACCCCCCACATCCTGACAGCTTACATGTTCTGACCTGATCTGAATCATTTTGAACTTTTGACAGGTACAGAAATGATGATCAGTATTCACTTCAACTGATCACTTTTGTTTATTATACTTTCACCTACTTTTGAGTGACTGTAGGCCTGTATCACAAGGTAAAAACTAGCTTTCTGTACCGTCAATGAGTAGGTTAGACAGGAAACCTCATCTTCCGGTCTTAACCATAATTTTATGCTGGGTGAAATACATCATCAATGTGAAATATGTGTAGTACATGCCATCTCTGAACTGTTATTTGACTATGGCATAGACAATTCACTAAGCTCCTGTGTAGATTTAGCTTCGGTTTTCTGTGCAGCATTTATAACTAGTGTATTTCTTGTAATGTCTGATTTCATCAACATTTGGAGATGTAAATTGCAGACCATGATATCTTGTTTAGTTACCAATCCTATTTCTTGCTTGTAACTGAAGTGCATAATGCTGTAAACATATGATTAGAGTACCATTCTGTTCTTTGCAACAGAAGAGGCCTTTAGTGTTTGAGCTCATTTTCTTGTGCTCTAATCTACTTTGAATTGTACTCTTCCTGTACCATTGATGAATTATTTAAATTGGACAGAGAGATTAAGAGCTTGTTTGGCCAACATTTTGTTTTTGATTTGGTTTTGAGATGTGATTTAAAATGTGTTTTGAAAGAAAATTTAAAAAGTTGTTTGGATAATATTTTAAATAAAATAATAATATTTTTGGACCAACATCGGACCACCTTTACCACCAGCGTCGCCGCCGGATCAAGCGGCGGTCCAGCAGTGGCGGTGGGCGGCCCAGCGGCGGACGGTGGCGGCGGAGGTGGTCCGGGATGGTGCAAAAAAATGGTGTAAAGATAATGTTTGAAATAAATTTTAAAAAATAAATTAAAAAGTTGTTTGAATAATATTGAGTTTTGTTTTTAAAAGATGTTTTAAGAGGTAAAATGAAACAAAATAGCAAAATGAGACTTGATAAAACAAGCCTTAAGCATTTAAGCTTGTGGTAAATCAGAATTTTTATGCTTGGGCCGCCAACACCAATTGAACTCCAATTTCTTCTTCTCAATCCATTTTACTCCTCTGTCCCTTAATTATTGTCCAGGTTTTTAGTTTAAATTATACTAAAAGTGAAATTTTAAACTGGACAATAATTTTAGGATAGAGAGAGTACTTGTTCTGGTGGATATGAGCCCATTGGTCTAACTCAAAACTCAAAAAAAAATAAAATAATAATACCTTTCTCATTCACCTTTCGATAACTCAACCAGTTCAAAAAAATGACAAACATTTAGCGATACTTTTGATATTATAATTCATGTGAATAGTGACTACTTAAATACTGTATGTTACCTACTATACAATTCATTTATGCCATGAGGTCCATAATATCACCTGCCAAATGCTATAAACACACAAGTGAAAACTCTTTCTAAAGATTCTATCTGATCGGTTCGGATAAGTTTTTGTGTGATAATTACACAACAATATCAAACTTACCTTTACTTTTTTTTAAAATTTTTTTTTTTTGTATATTATCAACAAATTAAGTTCCTCATTATTTTCAGTTCTATTTTATTCAGAGAGTAGATAGAATATTTAACAAAACACATTAAAATGAGGATTCTGTAACCTAATCGGTATTGTTGAGTTGTTTATTAGTAGTAGGTAGAATGTTAAATTTCATATCACCATATTAATATGAGGATTCTATACCCTAAATGAACAAAACAAGGAAGAACCCAACTGCCTTTTCTCTTCCAAAGTGTTGTGTACTTATTTATCTTCCATTTCCCAAAACTATTTCTGTCAAAATTAATGTAAATCATCTAACCAAAAAAATTTTGCTCTGTGAACATCACTAAGAACAAATTGAGACTTCTTTGTTTATCTTAAAATTCCTAAAAAGAAGACGAGTAGATCTATTTTTATTTAATTTTATTTCTTTTTCTTCTACATTTCTTTTGCTTTTAAATTAATAAGAACATCGAGTGGGACGATAGATTAGAAAACTTGATCCATTACTACTTAATATAATTTACCAAATACTTAAACTTGATAATAGCTAATAATAATAATTAGGCGAAAACACCTAATGCATGGGGGTTAGCTAAGTGGATTATGATGATCTGATATATTTGCCTATAATTATTACTTGAGAATCAAAGTCCAATAATTCAGAATTATGATTTGTGTACGGATCGATGGAGCTTTCTAACAACCAATTTTTGCACCTCATGATCTCAAACTCTATATTAAATGGAGGATATACACATTATTAACCAAAAATAAAATAAAATTATATACACATTGACTCTCACATATATATCTTACATTGCATGTAAGTTTGAGATAATTATATGCTCCATGTAACTTGTGCAAATCTTAGTTCATGTAGTATTTAAATTCGTGCCGTTAGTGTTAGGAGGAACCCAACCCTTAGTTTAAAAGTTACAAAATCGATCCGATAAACTGAGAAACTAAAATATCAAAAAAAAAAAAAAAAACACATTATTCCCTTCTTCGAAGAATATAAAAATTAAATCCTGTTTGTTCAAATATTTATCAAACTGAAAATTTTAACAAAAATTAATATTTCTGTATATATCTCAAAATTTAATGTGATCTATTTTTTTTTGAATTGAGGGAGTAGTATTTTTCGAGAGACGAAGGGAGTATAAACTTATTATGCACACGTGAAGTTATTTAGTTGACTAAATATTTCGTATACTTTCTACTTATATCTTCATTTTTTAGGCATTGATACAGAAATAATAAGGGATGAGAAGGTGATGAGGCTGGGGACTGTAATCACAAGATCAGCCGCCCAAAATTTAGTGAAAATATTTCTACAAAAATGACTCTTTCATCCTATGATCAAAAAACTATTTACAAATATATTATTACCTCCGTCCTAAAATAATAGTCCATATCGAGTTTTCAAATTTATACTAAAAACAGTACAAAACTCAAAACTCAATGTGGATTATTTTTATGGGACAGAGGGAGTAATTTTTATGAGACAGGAAAAGTTTTGCTAAACTTATTAATTTGGCTAATCACTAATTACGTAGCTAGAGAGTCAATATTTGCAATTCCAACAATGCCCATTCTAGAGTAATCGTCAGTATTATAATGTAATTTAGTGAAAAACTAACTTGTAATGATTGTAAATTGGTTGTTTTTCTTGAAGAATATATAATTGGCAAACTGGACTGTGACAGATTACCTAATAAACAATTTTCATTCTTCATATTTATAACAAATTATTTTTTTGTTCCCTATAACTGATGGTGACTGTTGTTTAAGTTTGTTTCCCAAATAAGTAATCAGATTAGGTCACTACAATTTCTGTAATTTTCTGCAATTCTCAAGTAATTTGATCTCTCCACATGTGATCGGTATTTCCACTTTTCTTTCTTTCTTTCCTTTTTTTTTTTTTTATGAGATGGAAAATTTTCAGTAAATGTAATTTGATGATAAAATTATTCATTTTAGTTGGGTAATTGATAAATACAGAGCCATCTTTTGTGTTATATAAAGAGCAAAATCTTTCCAATTACTGGTAATAACCCCTATATAAAAATTTAACACATTTACTTTAATTCATCTCCTTTATTTTCTCCTTTCTTTTATGCTTTAGATAAAATTCTCTTTTCTTTTTGGTAAAATGTCATCCTTTTTTTTTTTGAAGAAAAAATGTCATCCTTTAAGTTGTGAAGATTTTGGAGATTGTGGTGACCGAGAGTTGCAGTACTTTTTTCTCTCGAAATCTATTAATATACAAATTATTTGTTGAGAATCTACCACTAAAGAGGGATTTTCTATAAGTTAGTTTTTGTGTGGTGCATCTGATTGTTATTTGTTTAAAAATTAATAGGTATATTTTATGTTGATAATTTTTTTTGTTCTCCGTGAAAGTTTTAAATATCATGTTCAATAGTTCTTTTACTTTTTTAATCGGTGCTAGAAGTTTTAATTCAAGATTACCGGAAATGAGAAGAAAAAAAAATTACGTAAGGTTTTCTTTAAAAAAGTTTGTAGAAGGAAAAAAAATTACGCAAGTTTTTCTAATTTGGAGAAGAAAAATAAATTATGCAAGGGTTTTTTTTTTAATAGGAAATTGGCTTTTATCGTATCAATAAAAGAAGAGAGCAACTAAAGGAAATAATCATAATAGATATGTAAAAGTTTATATAAGGGTATTATCGATAATTTAAAATTTTTTTCGCTTTATATAATAAAATAACTCTGTATTTATCAATTGCCTTTTAGTTGGGATGAATAGAAAGTTAATTATGAAACACGATTGAGATGGACCAGTTTACTAACCATTAAGTATACTTTAAAGTTTAAACTCATTAAATGAATGCGCAAAACAAATGTCCGTAATAGGTCATTACCCTTATTTATTTACGAATAGTAAATCAAAACAATTGTCTTACAGGATTCGGTCACTCAAAGAGAGAATTAGTTGTTTGGTCTCGACAAATGTCAGAGTGTGTTTTAAATTGGTTAAATAAAAAAAAATACCAAATTTGCGTGGGGCTGGGGGCCTTGGCCAGTGCTTATCTTAGCCGGTAAGACCAGGCAAACAGACTAGCAAGGAAACCAGGGCGGAATCCAAACCACCACCCCACCGATACCATTCATCCGGAGCTATGCCATGTCACCAACTCTGGGATCAAAATCTCTATCCATCCTTAATTAAAATATCAATAATCGAGATGCATAACCGCTCTGATACATAACCGCTCTGATACCAAATTTGCATGGGGCTGGGGGCCTTGGCCAGTGCTTATCTTAGCCGGTAAGACCAGGCAAACAGACTAGCAAGGAAACCAGTAGGAATCCAAACCACCACCCCTGGCGATACCATTCATCCGGAGCTATGCCATGTCGGCCACTACGGGATCAAAATCTCTATCCATCCTTAATTAAAATATCAATAATCGAGATGCATGGAAAAGTTTCACCCGACTCTCAAGCTGTCTGGAATTCACAACTTATTGTGCATCATGTGGCCTCTTTTTCCCCTTAAACAATTCATCATAACGGTACTTTTCCATTAATGCACTTATTGTTGAGTTTTCCGATTGAACTCGGAATCGGAACCAATCTCAAATCATTGTATTTTAATTAAAAGAGAAGAAGGAGATAGAGCTTCCATGTATAATTTATGTAAACAAAAGCCAAATGTTTGATTCAGACAAAGGATTTACTCAGACATTGTCTGAGTACTTCAAACTATAAATTAAAACAAATTTAAAGGAAAAAAAATTACCTTTAAAAGCTTCTTCTAATCTTCAAACTTGTCAGATATATTTACTGAATGATTTCTTTACAAGGGAGAGAGAGAATTTCGAGAGAAAGGAAGAAGAAAAGAGAGAATACTTGGAGAGAATGATGCCCTCCAAATGAGCTTCTTCCTTCTATTTATAGACATTTCTAAATACTATTTTACAAAAAATTATTAATTCTTGTCATTATTTGACATGTTTTTCTTCAGATTTGACTGATGGTGGGGTCCACTTGTATTAAATTTCAAAAGTAGATTCCTACTTTTGTCACTTCATTTTTTTTTTCCTTTGGCTGATTGAGCTGTTTCTTAGATCT